AGACATAAGTATTTTTTCAGTTCTTTTTCGAATTTCTCAACACTTAATTTTTTCTTCAGTCTGGCATAAAATAGATGTTTTACCCATATCTGATTCCATTTTGATGAGAGTTAACATATCTGTTTGTCTGGTTATGTGTTCGTGTTAATGGCTATATTGACTTCAAAATTCAAATTTGAATGTTTATAATTATATTTGACGGAATGGATGAAATTAACTATTTTGAATTTGTAAATGGAGTTAATATCAAAAAATTGCCTAGGTTTAAAAAGATTTCTTGTTGGTTCCAAGTAATCTAGTTTGTATATACATTTCATAACTTTGTTTTGAAGGATTTTGATTGGCTTCATAATTGATAATCTATAGCTGTTCCCCAAACTGAAATCAAGTATTGTAATTTTGAATAAATCAAGGAAAAATATATACATTTCAAGTATTCCAAAGTGATTTGGTGTCTGATCCTGTAGAGTACTCCGATAACTGGAGATATTTTTTTTTTTGATCGATTCAATATGTTTGGACCAAGACAAATGTTCATCAAGGAATATCCCAAGGAATTTGATGGCTGTGTAATATTTGATGAATTCATTATTAAATTTGATTGAGTTGGCGGAATAAATCAATGTAGTGTCATCAGCGAACATGTAAACTTTTTCTTTCAATTTGATGTTAACAATCGAGTTAGAAAATAGATGATAAAATATACTTCAATTACATACATTACAACCTCAAAATTCCAATCGAGATCGTGATTTTACTTGAGGTGACGTATTTCTATTTCTTTCATTTCAGTAGTGAAGAACCAAATGTCAAAACAACCTCCATTTCCCCCATCCCACGACCCGTCTCCTCCGTCAACATGGCGACGCTTCTCTCCCAATCCTCCTTCCCTGTAAGCATCACCCCACCTCCCAGTCCCTCTTTTCCTCAATGCCCCACTTTGAGCCCCAGTTTCTCAACTCCCATCTCCCCTTCCCCTTCATACATGTTCCCTTGGAATATATCTCCCACTACTGCACCTCCAAGTTATTCCTCTTCGAACACCCAAAAACTACCGCCATCCCCTTCTCATGCCTCCAGCGTACCACAGAAACTGTCAGGGGTGTACATTCAACCGGTGAACATCCAGCCGGGAAACATCCAACCAGGGAACATTCAACAGATGGAGTTGCCAGAGGCTGTGCCACCGACTCCTCCGAGTGAGGAAGTTGAGGTTATGTCTGCGGCTATCAAGAGGGCTATATCTTGCGACAGCGTCTGTTCTGACACGTCTGTGGCTCTCGGAGATTTGGAGATGTTGAATGTGACGGGACATCTTTGTATTGGCCTAGAGTATGACAGGTATGTGACTTTACATGATTTTCGTTGAATGTTGCATTTTTCATGACCGTTCTTCAAAGACTGGCGGATTTGTACAAACCGCTGACTGACTTATTTGTTGCTTCCATCATAGAGCAGACTTTCGTTATTTCATAAAAGCTGAAGGTTTCTCAGCGCATGCTCCCAACTACCTGTGTTGGGTAAATATGAAGTTTAGGTCATGGTGCCTTTGGGAGGTTACAGGGAGCAAAGGTGCTAAAAATATCAACTAACTTTCGTCATACTATAAAGAATGATTTTTTTATGTGTTATTCGGAATAATATTATAAACCACGTCATCCATTGCCAGACACGTTACCATGGTGCTACGCCTGGCCAGATACCTTTAAACCTTGATGAATCGTAACCAGTGCCGGATCAAGCCAGCGTAGGGCCTGTAGCAAATTTTATCGAGGGACCCTTCGTTTGCTTTAGGTTATCAAGTTGAGAGAATTGAATAAAATAAAATGAGACTATTACAAATAAACTTCTCTGGATATACCTATTAAGGGCAAATTTGTAGATAACACTTTCAATATCGACTTTTTCAAGCAAGTCATGCTCTATATAATTATAATAGTGGGATGATTGAGACGTTCTTGGCCCATCGTGTTCCTCAACTCATTTTTAATTCATTTTAATACTAAAAAAAAACGTTCGCCACTACAGTTAGCGACCATGAGATACACGTAAATTCGCAAGGCAATTTCTATGTTTGGGAAACATGATTCTAAAGAATTATTCAATGAGAGTTTATGAAATTGTAGTTTCAGGGGCTCCTGTCTGGTGCTCTGAATGACAGTACCCACATTCGTTTTGAGCAGCTCAACGATCTACACTAATTCGTCGCCTAGGCTAGTTTATTCCAAATCATCTGTGTGAGCACTGACCATTATTGAGGATTTATCCGAAATGAAATGCTTTTAAACGTTTAGTTGAAGCAGACAGTACGTTATCGATGATGGAAATAATTACCTGAACTCCAAAACGTTTTCCAGGTGTTTGATTTTCAACAAAGTCGTCGAGTGTAGTAGAGAGCCGCTAAAATGGTCGTATACTTTGCATATCGCTTGATTCGTCCATATGTTTATTGCTTTATTCTACTACTATAGCCAGACAGACATAGATTGCTTTCGAATAGTACGAAATACTATAGCCATCAAATCCGGCGTTCCACAAGAATCAATGTTGGCACCAACATTGTTCCTATTCCATATCAATGATCTGTTGGAAGTAACCATCTAACCTATACACAGCTTTGCAGATGACAGTAGGAAAGAGTGGGACACAATATAATGGATCATCGGGGCACAGATGAATTCTTGATTATAATTGTCACATTAGTTGCCATTCGAACGCTCCTAGTGCATTAATTTGTGGTTTTGGCGGTGTGATACTTATATCACAGTCTTATATGGTGAATTCATGTAGCGGTTCTAAGTTGTTTTAAGTTTTGAGTCATAAGTTTCAAGTCACAAGTTTTAAGTCGTAAGGGGAAAATGCTAATTCATGCATAATACCATAAGGAAAGCATTAAAGGACCTCTGCATTAGCTCATTTTGCTCATTATTTATCAGTTTTAAACATGTTCAGTATATTATGGTAACACATTCATATGCAGCAGTTTGAAATATCTGTTTTGGATTTGGTTTGATTGAAAAAAATTTAAACATAACGAATGTTAGCGCACGGCTGATGCGAAGAGCAAATTACTCATAAGTTTCAAGTCGAAAGTCAAGGCTGTATGACACCTGTTAAATTTGATGAGAAATATGATAACAAAAATGATGAAAAAAATATTTCCTATGTTACAGTATGAATATTTATAATATCAAAATATTTAGAACCATCAGTCCTGTATTTTTACAAGCATGTTTTCAAATCTGCGCAAAATCAACACCTTTTTCACTGTATGACACACGAAAAATATTGTTGTCATCATTTTTGTCAACATATTTGTCATCGAATTCAACAGGTGTCATACAGCCATAAAGAGATGAATGTTGGCCAACTTTTTTCACGACTTAAAACTTATGACACGTGTATGATCGTTTATATTGATAAGCAATGACTAAACTTCCTATTACTTATGATTCAATACTTACAACTCAAAACCTGAGACTTTCAAACTGCTGTACAAATTCACCATTTTTTATAGTTTTTCATACTTTCATTGCATCAAAAAAGTATCGTGGCGTGAAATTTCAATTGTGATCTGTAAGCTTGTGAGATCTTGGAATAGTTGTAATAAAGCGCTTGAAAACAATACATTTGGACATGTTTGCAGGTGCTAGTGAAGAAGACAAACACTTCATAGGTATGCGAATGATATGAAGGATCAATTTCGTCTCTATGCCGTACTATAAATTTGCAATTGAGCTAGAGAATTGTTTTATATCCAATGAGTTTATATTATATGATCAGGTTTCAACCTAGACCAAAAATTTCCATTTTTGTAATCATCGTGACTTCAAACAAAGTATCTTTTTGTTGATTTGTTGTAACTAATGAGAGTCCTTTGTATGCATCATCTGAATTAGTTTCCACTATAATCTTATGTTGGTCCCATCTACCCCAAAGTACATACTCATGACAAGTGCAAATTTACCAAGTTGATGAATGTGAAATCATATCCACCTCGAATCATCAAAACGTGTTAAAAATGTAACAGTCTTTCATTATGGTATCTGTGGAGGATGGACCTTCCAAATTACTCTCACAACTTAATTTTGTAAATGAAGACACTTCAAGACAAGCAGAATAAACAACGTATCCATTTTCTTTTGAGGCGTTATATCAAATATCACTCAAGGCATTCCTTTGAAGCTGCCATACTAGCATTATCAACAGTAACCGGGTTATCAGATTTCCATCGATAATAATATGCTCAAGAGGTGAAACGCAGACAAAATTGAATTAATATCTAAATTGCGACAGTTTACAGTTTGATTTCATTATATTTGAAGTTAGTTTGACTGATCATGCGCCTGAATGAATTTTGATAGATATTTCGTTCATCTCTTCTTGTTTTCATATTTGTTTATGGATATTGAACGATAAACAGCATCACATAAGCAAATCAGATCAACTGAATCATAAACAAAATTCTATGTTGTATTTATCTTCAATTCACTCCGAGCGCCTGATGATGCCATATGGCATCATGATAAATCAAATACCATGCACGACATTGAATTCAGATATTTTGATTATATGAATGATCAATAATAAGAAACATCAGTTTTACTTACTGTGTAATGGGTTTATTTCAATGAAAATCAGCAAAACTGTCAGATACAAAAAGTACGCACGTGTTTTGCATTCACGACTATTCGCCATTTGCAATACACAAAATATCCGCAATGATGCATCCTGTGAAGTATGAAACCACATTTTTGCATGAGTTCCAACATCTAGAGAGTATCTAAGTATAACTTGAGTTGCAGAACTCTGCCGAATGATCTGAGCGCGCATATAAGTGGGTAAAATATATGATGCCAAATGGCATCACTGGGCTTGAAAGGGTTAAATGAGGGAGCAAACGCCTACTTTGGATTCTGTGAGTAGATAAACGACTGTTTTGGCTGATGGGCCATGCTTTAAATACCTTATTATCCACTCCACTGAATCTTACTGTTTTTTCTGACAGCGAATGTTGGGATTTGGTTGTTAACGTCCTCGAAGCTAAGGATTTATGTGGCGTAGTGAAAAAAGAGGACACCTTAGACACTTACGTAAGAGTGTCTCTGCTACCAGATAAGGAGGCCACCATCCAGACAAGAGTGTACAGGAGTTCTGGGAGCCCTAGCTATAAGGAGAGGTTCCTATTCTCAATGAACCCGAGGTAAATTCTCAAAAAAACTGTCATTATTCTTTAGTTTTTCAAATTATTCTATTTATTTCCCACTTCTTTTTACTTCTGCACTCTATTCTCTTCTTTTTTCAACCTACTCTTCATTTTTAACTGACTTCTTTTTAGTTTGGCTATCTATAACAACGTGTTTCATTAGTTTTTCAAACTACTAATTATTAACAATAGCTGATCGGGGGTATCAGCAAACGTCGTTTTGCTGTATACATTTATTTCTAGAAAATATTTTTTTACTTGAATATTTATCAACACACTTTTATTATTTTGTTTTCTACTTCTTTTCAGTTTGGCTTTTCATGAAATCGTGTTTCATTAGTATTTCAAACTACTATTTTTTATTTTCTTCTTCTTTAGTTCGACAATACTATCAATTTTATACTTCTATTCAGTTTGGCCTCGTGTATAGCTATTTATGAAACCGTGTTTCATCATAGTTTTTCGAACTACTATTTATTACAAGGCTGTTTCGCCATATTGGATCCGCCATCTTGACTTTCCTAATATCAAAGAATTAAATCATTATCTCTGACTACAAAAATTTCCAGATACACATTTTGAATAGAATCGGAATATTATTACAAAACTGGTCCGCCATGTTAGATCCTCTATCTTTAATTTCCTAATTTTGATTAGAGAATCCTAATCTCCGAACCCAAAATCCCCCAGATACAAATTTTGAATAGAAGCGGATCACAGTTACAAAACTAGTCCGCGATATTGGATCATATTTTGATGAAAGAATCATATTATCTTCGACTCCAAAAACCCCCATATATCAATTTCGAATAGAATATGATCATAACTAAAAAACTTGTCCGCCATATTGAATCCGCCATTTCGAATTTCCTAATTTTGATATTCCACTTCGACGTATCTACACATGACAGTTTTCTGAAAATTGAAAACATATTGAAGTTCATTGTTGAAAACACAAGTGGTCTGTGATCATTTTTGTAACCGTAGCAACGGTATAGGTATAAAGCCGTTTATAGATATTGAATTAAATTGTCAGAGCGATATCCAGAACCATCATAATCATTACTTGACAGTTGTAGATAAATATCTATTATCCACTTTTGCCAAGTATGTAATGGATAAAAATTGTCACATTCTGATACAGAAATGTCTCAGATCTCCAAATTCCTCTTTCATTTACCAAAATTCGAAATTAATCTATATCGAGTAAGCTAATCTCGGTTTCTTGTGGCACTTGAATTTTCAGTGAAAACAAATTGTATCACCCTGTACAAACACTATACCTACCTTCTTCATCTTGTAAAGTCGAAATGAATCAATATCGAGCAAGCGCTTCTCCATTTCCTTTCATCGAAACTTCCGACAGTGCCACTCGAGTGATACTTCCACCCCTATACAGGATGTCCCAAAATTGCTGGAACACAGAGCTATCACGTGTGATAGAGGTCAAAATTAGTTGTTCGGACCCAATTTATATGTACACGAAAATGTACCGTTTGTCCGTGAGAAGAGTTCCAAGTTTACATGGGAAAAACGGTGCATTTCAAGGGCATTCCAATTTTTTACGTCGAATTGTCATTTTTATTGATGAAGATGGCCGTCATATTGAACATTAATCATGAAAAAAGTCTATCGGGCTAGAAGCAAGCTACTTCATTGCTATGCTAAGCTTTCCAAAATTTTCATTTTCTTCTTCAAGGCTGAAACAGAATATGGTATATCAAACATTTCGTTACAATTCGATTCAACAAAAACAAGAACTTACTGGCAATGTGAGTTGAAAGGTATAAATTGGAATAATAATGAGTATAAATATATAGATGATATGTAGATATATTCTTTTTAATTATCTTTTATTCATGATGATATTAAAAATGACTCTACCTTTTAAGATATTCAACAACAGTCTAATTTTATATAATTTCATTTCTTCCGGTATATAAATTATATGACTTTTGTCACTGTCCTATCAATTTGATGTCTATATTTTTTATGCCTACTCATTATTATCCCAATTTATACCTTTTAACTCACATTGCCAGTAAGTTCTTGTTTTTGTTGAATCGAATTGTAACGAAATGTTTGATATACCATATTCTGTTTCAGCCTTGAAGAAGAAAATAAAAATTTTGGAAAGCTTAGCATAGCAATGAAGTAGCTTGTTTCTAGCCCGATTGACTTTTTTTATGATAAATGTTCAATATGACGGCCATCTTCATCAATACAAATGACAATTCGACGTGAAAAATTGAAATGAAATGAAGTTCTTGTTTTTGTTGAATTGAATTGTAACAAAATGATTCATCTATATCTACTAATTCATATAGAGGAAATATTTGATTGTTTGTTTCTTTGTATGTATTGAATAGGGGAATAGGCCCCGAAACTACTGGATCGATTCGGCTGAAAATGGTGGGGAGGTAGCTTAGAACCAGGAGGAGGTTATAGGATACTTTTTACCTCGGTAACATTAGGAAATTCAAGATGGCGGATCTAATAATACATCGGACTAGTGTAATTACGGTCCGATTCTATTCAAAATTGGTATCTGGGGGTTTCTGGGGCCGGAGATTATGATTCTTTCGTCAGAATTTTAAAATTCGGGCAGCATTTGTAAATTCAAGATGGCCGAACCAATATGGCGGACGAGTTTTGTAATTATAATCCGAGCCTTTTCAAAATTGGTACCTAGGGGTTCTCCTTCGTCAAAATTAAGAAATTCAAGATGGCAGATTTTGTGATTATAGGATCCGATTTTATTCAAATTTGGTGTCTGGTGGTTCCCGGGGTCGGAGATTATAATTCTTTCGTCAAAATTAAAAAATTCAAGACGGCGAACCCAATATGACGGACGAGTATTGCAATTATTATGATCCAACTCTCTTCAAATTTGTTATCTGGGTGTTCTCGGGAACGGAGATTATGATTCTTTTGTCAAAATTTGGAAAGGGCGGGATTTGAAAATTCAAGACGGTGACACCAATATACCGGACGAGTTTTGTAATTAAATACCGATTATATTCAAAATTTGTAGGTGGGCGTTTTCGGGATCAAAAATTATGATTCCTTCGTCAAAATTAGGAAATTCAAGATATTTTCTATCAAGTATAGTATTATTAACATTGGATAGATAGATAAGCTTTATTGTCTAAAATGAGCACATTTTGTCGACAAAGTCAGTATCTTGCGATACATCGATTGCAAGATTATAAATAAATACAACAGAACAGGAATATATAAAAAAAATGCAGAACAAAAATATATAAAATAAAAAAACATAGACAAGTTTCATTATTATTACAAACAACAATTATCTTTAAAATCAATAATATGAAATCTCTAATTATTCTCACATATCATAGGAAGACTAGAATTTGGAGGCAAAGTATTCATCCAAACTGTACAAGCCTTTTCCCACTAGCATATCTTTGACAGATCTACGGAATTGTTTCAAATCATTGATCATAGTTGTACATTCTGGTAAATGATTGTAAATCTTTTTACTTCTATAAATTAAGGAGTGTCTCGTTAAAGATGAACTAGGCAGAGGAAGAGCAAGGTTCCTTTTATTACGCGTAATCTTGTCTATGTTTGCGTTCATGAAATTTCTTCTATATTTGTGAAGCAAACAGACTGTTTCTAAAACGAAAATTTCAAAGACCGTCAATATCTTATATTTGTGAAACATTGGCCTGCATAAGTCACGCGGCTTGAGTTTGAATACAAATCTCAGAGCTCGTTTTTAAAGGACGAAAACACTATTTAAGAGACCATGACAGCTACACCCCCAGAATGAAATTCCATACCGTAGATGCGATTCAATAAGTGAGTAGTATGCTGATATTGAAGCTTGCAATCCAAGTTCACGGGATATCACATTGACTGCGAAGCAGCCAGCTGATATTTTTTTCTTAAGAGCTGATATATGATGGTCAAACTTCAAATTGCTATCTATGTGAACACCAAGAAATTTCGTGACAGACTTGCTCTCAATGAGTTGATCTCCTAGAGCAATTTGTTCAATCTCTGACTTGAATGTCACTAAATTTGTTTTAGAGACATTCAGAGTTAGCATATTAGCTTCACACCAAATTTTTATTTTTTCAACGTCCACTGAAATAGACTGAGCCAGACTAGCTCGATCTTCGTTATGCCAGAGAATCGTGGTATCATCTGCAAATAAAGTTAGGTGTCCAGAAATATCTAGAGACTAACCATCATATCGTATAAATCAAGAAGAGAATCGGACCAAGAACTGACCCCTGAGGTACCCCCCGTATAATATTACCTTTATTCGAAGTCTTTTTTGACAATGATACCCTTTGATTTCTATCAGTGAGATAAGATCTGAACCAGTTTCGAGCTGTACCACGAATACCGTAATGAAAGAGCTTCTGCAACAGAATTTCATGACTCACACAGTCAAATGCCTTAGAAAGGTCAAGAAACACTGCTGCAGCCGCCTCTTTTTCATTCAAGCTCAAGTATACTCTCTCGAGAAAATTGAAAATAGCATCATTGGTGTTTTTTTATTTTGAAAACCAAACTGTTCCTGCGCTAGTATATTATGATGCTCTAGGAAGCCAAGCATTCTCCATTATTATTATTATTGAAGTGTACCACCCTGTTAAATGTGTGTACGTCACAAAGGACATGGACCAGGCTTTTCTCCTTATTTCCAGGGAACAATCGCAGAGGCTGTTGTGTTTCCACGTATACGCCACAGATTTTCTCTCGCACACGTTGGTAGGAGAGGGGGAAATCAGATTGGCGGAAATCAGCCTGAGACAGCCGGTGACAACTTGGGTCACTCTAACGGACACTGGCCAGGTGAGGATTTTTTTTTGCCACCATTAACCTCAGAAATCGTCATCTCAGGTAGAACATCATTCAGTGTCATTCATAAAGTTGGCATCATATGGGAAAAACTTTTATCAATTACTTTTGAAATTCGAGTTGGACGTTAAGTTTTGCTTCAAAAAAGATGAAAAATGGCCTACTCAAACGGGGTCACGTGACTTTCGCTACATGTCAAAAGTGACATTTTTTCAAATTAATCGCTGAAAGTAGGCTTATTTGTTCGAATATCGAAAAAGTTTACTTGAAAAAGTTGTTTCTATTTGAATTTCACATATGCGACTCGGATTTTATCTTTCTATTACATTTTTTAGATATCGATATTTTTTTAAAATTTCCGAAATTTCTGTAATATTAAAAAAATTGTTAATTCGATAAAACTACTTCATACCAGTAGTTTCATCATGCTACTAACTTTCAATTACTAATTATCACTAATTATCGACAAAAATATGATTTTATTCAGAAAATGATAATCTCCGCTTCAAAATTCTGTTATGTCTGATGCAACATAACATCAAAATTCTGTTATGTTTGAATCGAGCATTTAGAAACGAAATTCATTTGAATTCATTTTTCCAGTACTGAAAAGATCAGTTTAAATGAATTTTGTTTCTAAATGCTTGATGATATATCAACTTTGCATCAAACATAACAGAATTTGGTAGCGGGTATTATCATTTTCTGAAGAAAATCATATTTCTGTCCATAATCAGTTATAATAAGTAATTGAAAGTAAGTAGCATGAAAAAGCTACTGGTATGAAGTAGTTTCGTGGAATTAACAATTCTCCAAATATTACAGAAATTTCGAAAGATTAAAAAAAAATCAAAATCTAAAAGTTGCAATAGAAAGATCAAATTCGAGAAGCATGTGTAAAATTGAAATAGAAACAACTTTTTCAAGTAAACTTTTTACAGCGGTTAATTTGAAAAAATGTCACTTTTGACATGTAGCGAAAGTCACGTGTCCCCCATTGAGTAGGCCATTTTTCATCTTTTTGGAAGCAAAACTTAACGTCCAACTCGAATTCCAAAATAAGTCATTAATAAAAGTGTTTTCCATATGATGCCGACTTTATGAATGACACTGTATACCGGGTGTCAACGAATCTATTTGACAAGTCATAACTTCTAGACCATCAGGTGTATCAAAATGAGATTTGGTATAGGTAAATGGTATGTGAAGATGAGAGTTTTCACATATTTTTCATTTCCTGGTCACTTCCGGTTTCACCGGAAATGGCTCCGATTCTAAATTTTTAAATGGAACACCCTGTATATTGTAACATTTTTTGATTTCTGAGAAAATTCTAGATCAGAATGTGACATTTTCGGGACTTTTTACACCTACTCAATTTTTTCGGAGTCACTTTTGAAATTACATCTAGGTGGCCATGATCGGAAGTAAACTAATCTAAGGACCTCAGGCAGGCGCGCATCCAAGGGGGGGGGGTACAGGGGGTAAATACCCCTCCTAAGGATTAGAAATAAATTGACTGAAGTGAAATGGAATGAATTATTGTTATCACGGAATTATTTTATTCAACGATACTAGTGATATTCTTTCGTCCGAACCAACCGATATATTATATCAGTAGAATTAACTATATTGAATCAGTATGAACATACATTCTTTCATATTCCGATCCATTTTGCCCAACTACCTAATGCTTGGTTGTGAATCCAAGTGAACTGGAAGAACCAAATATTGAGATTATCTTCGATCACATATTGTTCAGTTGTCAAGTTCTGTCAGTTATGTTCATCTGTCGAACGTATGAATTAGAAGATGGACAAAATAGGATATCTCATACTTTATTACCTACTTATTCTCATTATAGGTACTGTCTCTCAGAAATTATATGGGATAAACTTTCAATAATAATAAATTTTAAAATTCGACTTGACCATTCAGTTTTGCTTCAAAAAGACATAGACAATGACCTACTCGGCAGGTGCACGCGTGACTCGATAAATGGCAAATAAAGTTACATTCTTCAAAATTATTCGCTGAAAATAGGCTCACCTATCAAATTTTGTTCGAAAAGTTTACGAAAAAATGTTGTTTTTATTTCAATTTCACACATCTGTCTCAACTTTCAGTTCTTGGTATCATTTTCAGTATCTACGAAATTTCTGTATTGAAAAAATGATACTACAACATATTTACCCCCTCCAGAACTAAATCCTAGATGCGCTACTGACCTCAGGTGATATCAGAAAATTACAATCGCGAAGTTTCAGTGACGAGTATGATAGATATGAGTAAGACAAAAGTTGGCAAAATTACATTTTCGTGTCTAACTATTATTTTTCAAATGGTGACCATTTTTTGGCAAGCACTTTCCGAAAAAAGGATATTTTAACGCATCTAACCATACTTATTTATTTGCGATTGTATTACAAATAAGAACAAAAATTAAATATTACTGACGAAAATATTCCATAATAATTTATTTATTTTTGTCAAGTGTGCCATGGATGATAATTCATTTACTTGTAAGCACTTCCTGAAAAAAGGATATTTTGACGAATCAAACGATACTAATTGATTTGATGGTCTTTTATAAGACCGAAACATGTCCCTCATGATTTAGTTAAAAATATCATTAAAATTTGTGGAGATGACTTCGAGCATTCCTTCCTTCCTGTGAAATATTTCACTCCACTTTGAGCAATATGGACTTCTACCAAAGATTCATATTTTCATTTTATAAAAACGAGGAGAAAATCCCAAAAAATCGGGAATAATGAATGCGTCATTTGTATTTCAAATCAGTCATTACAATTTCAAAATCCATCATTTCAATTTCAAACTAATCATTTTTATTGATTATGCCACAATGGCAGGAACCAGAAGCCAGAAGCGTTACAATAATAACAAGGTGAATGAAAAGATCACCTATCATCCATCTAACCTTTGCCTGTGCTTTTTCAGTTTTGAAATTCATATGATGCATCATGAAATATATTCGATATTTTTTGAAATACAAATGACTATTTTGGAATTTGAAAAACATTTGATACTTTTCGGAATTAAAGTAACTAATTCGAAATTCAGATAAAATGATGCTTTTTGAAATGCAAATGACAATTTTGAAATACAATTGACCATTTATGAACTAAAACTGGAAAAAGTGTAGTATTATTGTGGTATTTGCCCAGAGCATCGAATATCAACTTATCTGGAAGATGATATTCGATGCCCAGAGTCACCGAGACTATAATACACAATATAATTTCTAAGAAACTCTGTAATAAACCATTCATCAGAAGCCTATAGAACTTCAGCTTATTACGGATCATCAACAGAAACATAAGCTTCAGTTCTACGAAAACAACACTAGAAAGTTATTTATATGACAAATAACAGGTTGCGAGGATTACTGAGAAATAATGAAGACAAAACCTATTATTTCGAAGAGCTGGACTGTGAATTTTGTACTAATGTATACAGGGTGGGGCAATAATGCGTCAGAATCCGATTTCTCGAGTCCTACTCTACTTATACCTACATAATTAGTTAAAAACATATAATAATCGAAAAACGTATGTATGCTACAGAAAAAAAGATATACAGGGTGTTTCAACATTCAGTATCAAGATTTTAGCGAGTCAATTCTCAGGTCTAAATGATACTATCTTTTCTATGGATGTGTCCGCGAACGCTTCACTTTCGATCTGCAGAGCGTTAAACTTTGAAGATTTCTTTATTTTCCATCAGTTAAGTTTCGTTCGGTTTCTTAGTCCCTAGGCAATGTTCGGAAACTTGTGATTAAGAGCACAAACTGAATATGTATAGAGTTTCATTGTGATAATAGGTTCCTCCTCTTTGGTAAGAATTTCAATCAATTCTAGCAGATTATGAAATAGTATATTATTCACCTAGGGCGAGAAGTCAGCAAGCATTTTTATATCCAGAGACGTAGGCGCATAAGGATATAGTGCTGTGCGAGCTATATAATAGCATTCTCACCTGAGGTATACAGTGTGTCCCACTTACCATGCTCACCATGGATATCTTTTCAACGGTGATAGATACGAGGTCGGTTATATGACACCAAATGTGGAGTTTGTCAAGGCCGACTATAATGTGAAAAAATATTTTGATAAAATCTATTCGTTTTTGTTTTATACGCAAAAAAACAGATTTTGATCATTTTCATGTATCCTCCGTAACTTCTTTATTTATGAAAATATTCAAATAGGAATTTCACATTCTCATGGCAGTTTTTCGAAGTGATTTCGAAAAAAATATGAAATTTATACTAACTCTTCTAGAATTTGAGATATCAGCACCAACTTCAGCTTTTCAAATGAAGGTCATAGCTCACTATGACTTATATAGTTACAAATAACTTTTTTTCTCTTACAGATGATATGTCGCAGTAATAGTTTTGTGTTCAAACCAACGGAGTTATCGTCATTTATAAAAAAACAATAATTATTTGAAAGCCGCCATCTTGAATTTATGAATTTTAACAAAAAAATCATGATCTCCGACCTCAAAAACCCCCACTCACCAATTTTGAATTGAATCGGACCAAATCTTGTCCGCCATCTTGGAGCAGCCATTTTTTAAATTTCAACAAAAATTCCATAATGTATATTGTCACCGTAATTATGAACACCTGCCAAATTTCAAGTTAATTGGAGTTATGAAATTTTTGTTGAAATTAAAAAAATGGCTGCTCCAAGATGGCAAGGGGGTTAGGTTTTTTTGAAACACCCTGTATAGTGTAAAATTTTTATTCCTGCCTTAGCGATATTTGATCCAGTTTTAGATTCATGCAGAATATCTAAGAAAAATTACTTGTGAATGAATGTGAAGAATGCCAGATTTTTGACATGTTGCATTATCTAAAAAAAATCCTGTGAAAAACGATAGGATTTCGATACGTTGCAAATCGAGTTCAAATATCGCATTGACCTGCCCTAAAAACGCTAAATTCATAAATTCAGATCCAAATTCGCTGAGACGGCAACACTACCACTAAATATGAAAAAAATAATCAAACTTTATAGGAAACAATATGATTCATAATTATGATACTCGACGAAGGGATGATCTCCGCATACTATTCTCACGACTTGATGGTGTAGCACAAAATTCACATTCTTATCAGGGTGTGTTTAGTATTCTTGGAAATATCACCAGTTTCAATGAATTTAAATAAAAACTCTAACTACTTAAGTGCTAAGGCTTTTTACTCAATGGAAGAATTTTTAGAATGTGAATGATGAATGTATTGTGAATATGTTTTAAAAATCTGTGAACATCTTTTATCCTCTCTCAGAACTTGTATAAAATTTTATTGAAACTGTTTGAATGGATTGATGTAATATCGCTAGACTCCAAATTTGTGAATGTATTTCTTAAATTTAATAATGTATTTTTTTCTCTTTCAAATATTTTTGCCCTCAGCATGAGTTGTGTAAAGTCTGACTTCCTGTTTGACTAGTCTGATAAGTTTCTGTACTACTTTGTGTAAAAACTTCAATGATGAATAAATCATCTATCTATCCATCCATCTATCTATCTTTACGTAAATTATTATGATCGATGCAAACAGATTTTCAAGTGAACGCGTAAAGATCCTAAGTCCCTAAGTGAATGTGGTTATAGCATTGTTTATTCTACGTTTCATCCAATGAAAGCAATAATTTGAATTGAATTATCTCTTATTTTTTCTTTCCCAGAGGGGTACGGAATTCGGAGAATTAATGTTCTCCCTGAGTTATCTTCCGACAGCAGAACGACTGACAGTGGTAGTCGTAAAAGCAAGAAATTTGAGGTTTTCCACGGAGATACCTGGTGAAGTTTTCGTGAAGGTGAGTAGATTTTATTAGCGGTCGATTTTGGATCAAGTTGCCAGGGAAAAATAGTTTCCATGGAGTTTAACTTTTTACTCCTGTTTATAAGTATACAAAATCGTGATTCTGATGTTCGAAGAGAACAAAGGTGGAATTATTGATGATGATATACAGACATAAACAGGTAATCACCACACTTGCATATTCCAAAATTGCAATCAAATATCTCAAAAAACAAATTTGACAACCGGAAGTGACAATAACGTATTGAATATCTCAAAAAAATAGTCCACATCACGCTATACCTTCAACAATAAAATTTTCGTTTCAGGTTTATTTGATGCAACAAAACAAAAAAATCAACAAGAAGAAAACTTCAATCAAAAGGGGTGAAAAATGCCCCATCTTTAACGAAGCCATGATGTTCAGTGTGCCTGCACATACATTATCGGTAAGACAATCATTGAGGATCAAAATCATCAACGAGCAAAATCATCAACGACCAATATCATCAACGACCAATCGTCAGTGATCAAAGTTATCAAGGATAAAAATCGCCAACGACCAAAATCATTAACGAACAATACCATCAAAGACTAAAATCATCAACAACCCCAAGATATCAACAACCAAAATCGTCAACGCGAACAAAATCATTAACGACCGATTTCAATGACAAATAATCATCAACGACCAAAATCAACAATTTAACCCAAATCCTTAACGACCAATATCATCAACAACCGAAATCATCAACGACCGATAGTATCAACTACCTTTATCATCAACTACCAAAATCATCCACGACCAAAATCATTAACAACTAATATACAGTATGATGCAAATGTATGGAATAATTTCATTTCAAAACAAGACGACTTTCAAAAAAAATCCAAAAACTAGAGTTCAGAACTTTTTTTATTGTGTATTTTTTCAACTAGACGACCCTTCGATGTTCAATTCTCAGTAGCAGACCTCTGCAAGATTCAGTTAACCAAATGATAATCCATTTTAATTGCAATATTCTTATGCAAAATTTTGACTATTGGATAGACGATCAGTAGACCTTTCAAACGAGGTGTCACATGACTCCTGTTTGTATTCGAAAAAATCTTCCATTACGTCAGTACGTCATTACACCAGTGACGTAACATCTCTCATATCAATGTCATGAGATGAGGCTTCAAAAATTAAAACTCATGTGTTTTTGGAATTTCATCAAATGTCGCCCATTTCTGGAATAATGAATTTATTCCATACATTTGCATCATGCTGTACTATAATTTACGAATGATATCATTAACGACCAAAATCATCAACAACCCAAAGGGCGAGTGGACTTATAATTGAGAATTTATTGATGTTTGAATAACTAATATTTCTGAATTTCCCAATCGTTTTTCCACACACGGCAACTGTGTAATGGTCTGCCCCTACTTACGAAATCGTGACATCAGTTTTGACTCGCGGTAAATTTGTATCCGTTTGAAAGTTACCGTGGCAACATTGATGATTTTAGGACCTAAAAATCGACCGAAAAATTCTGAATAAATATTAAATCGAAAGGTATTATTCTATTTGGGTAATAAAAAATATCAGTCTACTTGCCTAATCATGATATATTACAGAATGACTTGAATTTGCTACATGTCTGGACAGTTGAGAATAAACTATACCTGAATGTTGATAAGTGTTTCAGTATTACTTTCTGTAGGTCAAATAACTTTAATGAGTTCAACTATCTTATAGATAACAAGAGCACAGAAAAACTCACTCATATAAAAGATTTGGGCGTTACGTTTCAAAATACATTGAAATTTTATAAACACATAAACGATGTATCAAGAAGTGCTTCTCGAATGTTAGGTTTTCTTGAACGCGTAGCTTTTGAATTTAAGAATATTAAAACCATTTCCAGTCTATATTTTTTCACTCGTTCGCAGCAAATTAGAATTCGCGTCCATAATCTGGGACCCTGGAAAGCTACACCTCATAAAATGTCTTGAAACGGTTCAAAATAAATTCATATTTTTTCTACATTACGAAAAATATCGAAGATGTCCCGATCGTTCGTCCTACGAGCCACTTCGTAAAGAATTCAATATTCCTAAATTGGAAAACAGAAGGCTCTTACAGAAGATAACATTTGTTTACAAACTATTAACAAATATTGCTGAAAGTGTAATGCTATTGTCCAAAATAAAAATACGTATCCCAAAACCCAATCTTCGACCAAAACACATTATTTCTTACTAGCAAGTGTCCTAATCTAATTGATAATATGTGTACACTATACAACAAGTTCTCTGATAAACTAGTGTGCATTGATATTTTCACTATGAACTTTGTATCTTTCAAAACTACTATTCGCAATGCCATAATTGGTAAATTCTAAACATCAAATATATTCAAGTCAGCTTCTTTCAACTTAAATAGGTATAATTACTATAATTTATTACTAATACTGTAGTCTACTTCTCTACCTGTTTCAAAAACCTCAAATTCAAATTGGTGCTCTTATTGCGTTAGTGTTAGTTTTAGTTTTTAGAATGCAACTTGTGTTGTTCTTAACTAATTTTAATTCCAAGATTCAAGATTCATGTAATTAGGTTTCTAGGAACCTGTTTGTAATCTTCTTTAAATAAAAAAATAATCATCAACAATCAAAATCATTAGCGACCGATATCATCAACGAACAAAGTCATCAACGACCGATATAATCAATGACAAATAATCCTCAACGGATTAGGATTAGGATTATTGATGATTCAATGTTATGGGTGTTGATGGTGAATTGGATTATGATAGAATGGGTGAGTTATCAAGTCGGTTGAGCTGATTAGAATTTTCTGTCTTTCAGACAATCCAATTGCGTTTGACAGTCGCAGAGTGTTCCAACGACGGCAAAACGAAGACGTTCTCCATCGGTCACGTGATAGTAGGAGCTCAAGCTAGCGGTAGATCGTTGAGTCACTGGAATCAGATGTTAACTGCCCTTAGGAAACCTGTTGCTATGTGGCATTCCCTCAGGAAGTAGTCACAGCGTGTACTTACTCTATTTTCAATAACCCGAAAGATATATATGTACTTATGTCCTAGCTTTTGTACCCCACTTCTCGTTAGACAGTTAGATGAGTCTTGGCTATTTATATTTGTAAGGAGTCAATCAAAATATGTATGCACGACCGGTCGTGAATTAGCACTTCATCGCCCGGATTTGCGGGCGTAAAGTAACGCTTTAGCGCTCTAAGGCGATAAATGAATTCAAAAGTATTATTAAATTCCATATTAGCATTGAATAAATGTCGCTGAAACGGTCGTGCATAAAAGGTTGTATGTATTTCGGGCGTAATTTGCTGTAATAGATCTAGGCGTGTTAGTAGCCCTATCGCGCGGGCTTTTATACTTACACGCAAAGCCAACTTTATGCCCTTGATACATACATAACTATTATGTCATATGTGCAGGCGGATTGGCAAAACATGTTCTACAGTGTGATAGGTACAGATTGTATACCAGAATTGTTGAAAATAATATAGGCAATAAAAATTGCTGAGTTCAATAATCTCGAAAACTAATTATGATATTGGAAACTTCGAACAAATCTAGAATCAGATGTTGTTCCCTCTCGAATAATGTCCACCGAACATAATATCCCCATACCATATACGGATCCGAGGGTGTGAAAATATTCATTATTTTTTAAATGGGATACCCTATATTTCATTGCATATTTTAAATGAGTTATTTTTGGTGATTTCGAACACACTTGAGATTGATTGAAATGATGGTCGTAAAATTTGCTAATTGAATTCTAGTTTGCTGTCAGGTCAACCGACAATCGATATTTTCGATGATCTTCTGGTTTCAGCTCACCTTGAGTTGAATCATATGATGTCATGACAAATATTTCAATTAATCCCAAGATTTATTCCTTTGATTCACCCAGAGTATATTAATCTATGGGAATATGGAATAAAATATAGGATGTTCCATTTCAAAAAATTTAACATTTTCAAACCAAGAGGGCATTTTATTCCAAAGAGAACAACAGCTGATTCAAGATTTTGTATTGAAGTTTTCAATATCTTAATTTCTTAATTAGTTTTCGAGATATTGAGTGTTGAAAGCTTGAAATACATAATGAATCGCCCTGTACTACTAATTGAACATTATATTATAAATAACCCCCTTCAATCACGCCAAGTGTAAACTTCCATTAAATGTGATATGCAAAAACCTGATTATAACCATGTTACTGTTGAAACTATTCAAATTCTATCAAAAATTTGTATTAAGTTTATATAATATAGAATATAGACTATCATATAGTATGTAGGTATACTGTTTTTGCTGTTTCTTAACGTATTAAAAATATCATACCCATTCTCTTCTGACAATAAAACCAATCCCTATTCTACAAAACTATGTGAAAATTACTTCACTTTTGCACTTCTGTGGTCAGCTTATAAAATTGTATTTTCTCTGCATTATTGAATTATTCCTTTTTTAGCTAGAAATTATTTGATATATTCCCAGATAGCCCAGAAGTTCGTGAATGAATGATATAGATTTTTTCGTAAAATATATATATATATACACATTGAATGTTATATTCCTGAAGAATGTATCTATCTTCTATATTTTCTCTATGAAGATCAGGTTCCTCAAATAAACATCATTGCAGGGGCAGATCCAGGAGATGTTTTAGGAGGAAGGGGTGGGGGGGGGGTAGAAAGTTACGGCTGATTGAGCAAGAGGAATTATATTCATTGGTACCTTCTGAGGTATTCAAATTACCTTCAATTTTACAGAGGTTTGCGAGAGGGTGGCCTAGCCCCTATAGTCCCCCCTGGATCCGCCCCTGCATCATTAGGTAACCAATTGAGTAGGAAGTAAGTAGTAAGAAAGTATGCAGCACATACCTAATATATGGAACATGGAAAACTTTTTATTCTTAGATTTTCCTCAAACAATTTCATCATGAGACTGTGGGATTGATAAGCCTTTTCTTGTAAAATCGTTGATGATTTCATATATTTTTTTCAAAATAAAAACAAAGGGGAGTTAAGGAACGAAAATTGTTCCAATAATACAAAGATCATTAATACCTGAAGATCTATCATAAATAATTTTCTGGAAATGACGTCGACTTTCGATTTTCAAATGGGTCACCCTGTGTTTCATTCCATAATCGGTTAGAGATTTCCATAACGCAATCTAGAATACCGGGTTTGATTGGGTTAATTAATGATAATAATAATAATAAACTTTATTTTCCCTTTGATAGTTACAAAACCCATATAGTCATCATATAGGCATAGTCAAGAGAACAAAACAGTGAAATATTATTGCATCCTGAAATTAAATAATCGTTAAGGAAGTAGTAACATGATGTCAAGAATTCGTTGAGTTGGCTTTTGAAACACAGTTAGTCTTCATGATAGTCTTCAAATTATTGGGTAGTCTATTGAAAAGCTTTAGTGCTAAAAAATTGGTGCATTAATTCTCTCTGCTTAAATAATAATTATTCTGCCTAGTACGATAATTATGAAGGTCACTATTTAAATTGAGCTTTTTCTTATTCCTAAAAACAAACATACGCATTTCAAATATATAAATACCAGTGACATCTAGAATTTTGCATTCCTTGAAAATCGGTCTACAAGTTCAACTGGGCATAATACAGGGTGTCCCTAAAAGGTGCGGAAAAAAAGATACCACAAGTTCCTGAGGCGTAAATATGACGATCTAACTCAACTTACCTCAGTCCAAAAGTGGATGATTTCAGAGATACAGAGTGTCAAAAGTTCAATTTGATTTTCATATTTTATAAATATTTTTTTTAATAATTGGTGTATCGTCATAATATTTGGCTTGAGGGGGTTTTGCTGGTTGAGGAATCAGAATTTGATATCATTTTTATTGTAAATTTAAGAGGGCGCCACCTGCGGAACCTTGCACACATTTAAAACGAAATAACTTTTTTGAGCCACCCCATATTTAATTTTTTGATGAAAATTCGGATTGTCCAACGTCTTTTACATAAAAAATGTATACGTGGTAAGAGTTGATTTGAACAGCTGTTTTTGAGATATCTGGATTTTAAAAATTCACTTCGTAAATGGCCAGGTCTAAATTATTGTAATAATAAAATTGAATACATTTGAAGCGTAGGCGGTAAATTAAAATAACGTCACTAAAAACTAAGAAAAGAACGAAGTAGGTACATAAATGTGTTGGTAATTTTATTCTCTAGTAAAAATAGTCATTAGGAATAGGAATAGGAGATTTATCAACAACAAAAGTTTAATTTAATTCAATTAAAAAAAAATGATTTTAACAAATGTTCAAAATGACCTCCATTTTCGTGTGTTCAAAGATTAATACGTTTTAAAAAGTTAAATTGAACACTTTGGAGCATTTCGTCATCATTTCTTAAAGCGTCAATTTCAGTTTGAATACGTCTCCTTAAATCATCTTCTGTATTTACTGGCCTAGAATACACAAGGGTTTTCAAAGCTCCCCATAAAAAATAATCCATCGGTGTCAAATCAGGGGACCGAGCTGGCCAATTTGCAGGTGAGCACCGTCATGCATAAACCACATTACCCTGCGAAGTTCTAAGGGTAGGGGGTCTAATAGGTTTGGTTATTCGTTTCGCAGATGTTCCAAATAATTTTCGCCATTTAGTCGAGGTGGTAGAATGACAGGACCAAGTATGAAAGTGCCTATGATTCCTGCCCACACATTGACCTTAAACTCATGCTGATAATGGGTTACTTTAGTCGCATGGGGATTTTCTTCAGCATAGACATGTTCATTGTGCAAATTAGTAATGCCACTCCTCGTGAAACAGGCTTCATCTGTGAATAAAATTCTTCGTGTAAAGTTCCTATCTTGAATTCTGTGTTCTTGGATGAACCTGCAGAAAGCTAGGCGTGCTTCAAAATCATGAGGCAAAAGATCTTGTACCCGTTGAACATGAAATGGGTGCAGTAGTTGTTCTCTGGTCGTTCTATTTACAGTATTTTTACATACCCCTAGCTCTAAGCCCAATCGTCTGCTGCTGAGTTTAGGATTTTCTTCAATCCTATTTAAAATTTCTTCCTCAACCTCTGGAGTTCTTGCCGTACGTGCACGGCCATAATTAATAGAAACAGGCGCAAACCTACCCGTTTCACGAAGACGTCTTTCAACTGCCGCGAAGGTTTTATGGTTTGGTAAGCGACGATTAGGAAATCTTTCACTGTATACTCTGCAAGATTCTAAACCATTTCCCTGGCAATATCCAAAAACCAATAACATATCGGTCATTTCTTCGTTGGTATACATTGCGGCCATGACAAAAAGAACTTTATTATTTGTTTGACAATTGTCTTGACTTGTTTTTTAGAAGTCAGTTTTCAGTGACGTTATTTTAATTCACAGCCTACGCTTCAAATGTGTTCAATTTTATTATTACAATAATTTAGACCTGGCCATTTACGAAGTGAATTTTTAAAATCCAGATATCTCAAAAACAGCTGCTCAAATCAACTCTTACCACGTATACATTTTTTATGTAAAAGACGTTGGACAATCCGAATTTTCATTTAAAAATTGAATATGGGGTGGCTCAAAAAAGTTATTTCGTTTTAAATGTGTGCAAGGTTCCGCAGGTGGCGCCCTCTTGACTTTACAATAAAAATGATAGCAAATTCTAATTCCTCAACCAGCAAAACCCCCCCAAGCCGAATATTGTGACAATACACCAATTATTAAAAAAAATATTTATAAAATATGAAAATCAAATTGAACTTTTGACACTCTGTATCTCTGAAATCATCCACTTTTGGACTGAGGTAAGTTGAGTTAGATCGTCATATTTACGCCTCAGGAACTTGTGGTAGCTTTCTTTCCGCACCTTTTAGGGACACCCTGTATATTAAACATACATCGTAATATTCTCTTTTGTGCTACCAACACGTCGGTCACTGCTACTGAATTACCCCACAAACAAACTCCATAATTATCTCAGTCGAGAATCTACCTGAGCAAAGTATAAGTTCAAAAGTTATTGTCTATTCAATAAGAATCTTATTTTTCTCAATAGAAATGTAAGAGAAGATAATTCTGAGACAAGAATTCGAGCATTGAGATCTCCAGTTGAGATTCATCCATAGAGATACCTAAAAATGTGAGTTTTCTTTTGTTCAACATTTGCATTATCAACAGCCAGATTTATAGGTCCTACACTTTATTGCAATGTATGAAATCTCACTAAGTAAATTTTAGTTGGATTGAGATAAAGATTATTGGAAGAAAACCAGGTACTGTGAGAGTCTAGTACCACACTACTCTTGGAAGCAATATTGTCATCACTTTTGTCTGATATTATTAGAGATACATCATCAGCATATATAAAATTGGTATTGGGTGATATAGCACTTATTTCATTTAAATATATAATATGACAAACAACATAGGGCCCAACATAGATCCTTGTGGTACCCCCATGTTAACGCCGGCATGTGATGATGAGACATATGTATATTCTCTCTCATTTCTATAATCAATGCAAACAAACTGCTCACGGTCAGATAAAAATGATGCAACCCAATCAAGTGGACGTACCTATCAAATAATTCATTCAACAACTTTCCGTGATTTACATAGTCGAATGCCCTGCTGAGATCACAGAAGACGCCAACAGGGCACTCGTTATGATCCACGAAATTAGAGAGGATATCATAAAAGGCTATTATCAGAGATCATGTTCTATTTATTTAAAGAAACGGTTACGCAGATATTTTTGTTTCCATATGCTCAATGAGTGTGACAGGGAAAGAAGTTTCGATATTGCGCCGTCACACCCAATGAACATAATATGAAAACTTCCAATGAAAATATCATCATAATCATTTGAAATAATCCAACTAAACCCGGTATCCTTGAATTTATTATAATAATCCCTGAACGATTATGGAATGAAATACAGGGTGTTCCATTTAAGAATCTGAAGTTGATATAATTTTCAAAAAACACAAAAATTCCTAAAATGTGAGAAAGTGCTCTCTAGTGAGCATAATTGATGTTCCAAATTTCAGAAATGTATCTAGAAAAACAAAGGAGAAGAGGAAAGTTAACTATGAGTTTGTGTCAGCTGATATATATACCATGCTAATACACAATATTTTCTTGATTGTAGTGTGTAGGTGTACCTGAGTGATACATTCCTTTATACTATTGATAGGCTTTTTTATACTGTGATATGTACACTCTCATCTTCATCTCAATAAATTTTCAATCATGAATTGAATACTTTATAGCATTTTATAGTAGATTCTACCTGATACCTGAAATACTGTACATAACCAGTTATTGTTAGATATTCTTTAAATATTATTTGTGAAAGAATACAGATTCATATTCTAGTTATTTGGTAAGGTGCAGGTGTAGAGGAACATTATTTAAAAATCATATATTAAAATGTAGACAATTTATTGATTGAATCAATTACTCCAATCCTAAAATACCTACCACATTTCATGATATTTTCAAATAGTGGAATAGACCCAACTAATCCAAATGAACTAGTTGTCATTGTTTCTTCACTTTCAGGATTTTTAACAATCATGTAAAAATATTGTTGTATAAGACTGTAATGCTGGGTTTATAGATTCAACTAAACTAAGAATTAAACTAACATCTATGAACTTGAAAAGTTGAATACAAGGTTTAATCTATGATACAAGGAAACATCTATGAGGGTTTATACATTTACATCTACCATTTAATTCAAGAATTAAGATAATTACAAAGTGGGCAAACTTTCAATTCAACAACTGAAAATTAGCAAACTCTAGAGACAGAACATGAAAATTGTATTTGTTATGTTCAAGTGGAGTTTAATATTATTTAATAGGAACATTTTTTATGGTTTCATGAATTGTGGAGACCAAAATCACATTATAAAATCATTTTGATCTTTAATCAAAAGAAATTTCAGATTTTATTCTTAGTTAATATTAGATATGTATAAACACCCTAATGATTATTAATTACTGTTGACTGTTAATTCCTAACTGTTGGTTTAATTGAATCTATAAACCCCTGGATAAACCCAGTATAACCTGTATCTATTTATGTATTTGCAAGAGTATGTTTGTAGTGAAATAATAGAATGAAAATCATCTATGTTAATTATTGACAGTGTATAATTCACAGGCATGAAATAGAAAGTATTTCCATAATCAATATTTACTGTTTTATTCTGAGGTGGAAAGGAAGAACATCCTTTGGTGTAAGTATAAACAATTTTTGTTATAAATAAAGCAACATGGATTTATGGATGATACAATCATAGAATAAATGTTACCTTGATTGTAGTAAGAATCAAACTCAGAATAGATTTATGATTTAATGACCATACCTGAAAAATAGAAATCAATTAGTAAAATGAAAAAAAACAACAACTATGAAACTCACTTCTGGAATTCCCATTCTCTATTATCAAGGGGGCACACTTGCCTAGTTTTCAGCCATCTTGAAATGCAGTGAAAATGGAAAGCATGCTGAAAAAAAAGTCATATGTATTACATTTTATGAAGTAGGTTTCTACAAGGGAGTACAATTTCACACAATATGAAGAAATTGCTCCTCTGATACCAGCTATATTCAATTTGCAAATCAATGACAAATCTGAAATGAAAAATTAATGACTCTAGTCTCTGATACTCACATTGCAAACTCCCCATGCCACTGTACACTCATCACTTGTAGCAGAAGCCTGGTTTGCTTGGCATTCAATGCACAGATCCATAATATGGTTTCTACAGATAGCACAGTTGTCCACAACAATATCTAGAAATTTTCAAATAGTATATTTGATATTTGCATTATAAACTATGCACTACATACCCCAAGCCCAAAGTGCTACAGCATTCCACTGAAAAAGAAACATGGAAAATAAATTATTGTCAAAGTAGGAATGGACAATGTAATCTTATGGACTTTCATGGGTCATGTTTATTAAATACCTTCTTCACTTCAAAACGTTTCTTTTCCCCCTTGGAGCTACTGGAGCTGGGTACTTCAACTTCATCTAGATCAACGTCCATAGCAGTAGCCATTTTGGTGATATTTTTGTTTTGACTCCTTGTTGTCCTGAAATAAATATTAGTCCTTTGTTAAGCTTTTTGTATTTGTCCTATTATAAACTTATGATTATTTTAATTATTTTATTTATTTTTGTGCTTTTTCAGGAGTGACAATGACAACAAACACAAACCGCACATGCAGAAAAGTGACATTGATGTTAACGCAGTCAGTTCAATACTTCAGCAGTCAGTCGTCAGTCAGTCTTCGTGTCCACAGAATTTGGAAGACTTTTGTAGTTAAGGATTATAAATTATAAATATTTTGTGGTTTTACTAAAATAAGGAAGACTGGAAGTTAACCTCAAAGTCTTGACAATCGATAAAACAATCAAAACATCGAAAATTTAAACAGATGATCACAGTGATGTTTCAAGGAAGTTCCCAACATTATTGATATGAGCTCGAAAATTGAAGATAATATGAATTTCGATGAAGGCTCGTTATCATGTACGATAACTATGTTTTAGTAGGTAGGTGCTTGACTGAGGTACTTTTATTATCACACATCTCAGTAATATAAACCACACAACAATGATACAACACACAAGTACATTTATAATTGATTGATTGATTGATTGTCTTTATTACCCCAAGAAACATTTCTGTTTATGATAGGGATACATAAATACATATAAAAAAATAATAATAATGAAATTGAGAGATCTATGGATTAATATAGAGTGCATTTCTAGGATGAATAGTGGAATTTTTGTTGCAACAATAGTATCTGTTCTCTTAGGAACAACAGTAATATTTCCATCATGTCTTACATATCTGTTATTTGGAATTTTATTGATCTTCACCATCATACTTGGAATTTTCACTGCCCTATGGTTGAACATCATGCTTTCCTTACCCCACAAAACAATTGTGGGGGCTGAAAACAGTTTGAAGCTAACAGAGAATTTCCGAAATAGGCTCATGGTGAGTAAATTTCAATTTCAAATGAATATTTCACATGAGAGAAATATTGATCTTCCAGAAAGAGTATGACACTTCAATATCTTCAAAAAAAGTTACCTCTCCTACATTGCAAATTTTTGGAAGGACTGTGGACAGTTTACTTCAACAGTTACTGGACTTCATCATCAGGGATTATATTTTGGTGTATCTCAAAGATTTTGCCTATGAGTTAGATACTTTGGGTATCAATATCAAGTGAGTGGGTCACTATTAAACTCCACTGTAGATACATATTATTTCATCTTACTGCTAGGGATGATCTTTGGGGAGCTGTTAACACTCTCCATGAAAAACTCTCCAGGGTAGATTCAGCCAAACTAATTGCAGCAGATATAGTTTCCAAAATAACAACTCATTTTGAGAGAATAAGAGAATCTAAAGCTTTGGTGTGAGTAATGTAACTGTTGACTGTAGAGTTTAGTAAGTCTCCCAATTTTGAATTTATCTATCTTTCTAGTGGTGATTCTGACCGTCCTCCAGTTTTTCAACTGTTACCACATGTAATGTCTTCAGAAAAAGAAATTGAGTATCTGCGTACAGTCAGTGAATTACTCATAATGTTCTTACTGCCAAGGACTTATTCCTTATCTCCTACAAAATACTTCATTCGTGAAGTTCTTTGCTGCAAAGGTTTGTTGAAATTTCAAATAATGCTCTATGGTAATAACAAAAATTGTGTTCTAGTATTCAAACCCATTATTGACAATTTGACTGACCCAGATTTTTTCAATTGCAATGTCATAAATTATATCCAAGTGAACTATATGAATGTTAACCTGCCAAAGAAGGCTCTGGAGAATATCAATAATTTTGAAGATCTCATAGATCCAATTGATGATGTTCAGGTATTAAGGTCAATAAGGTGGGAAAAGAATCAATTGTCCTCTTCTTTCTCTAAATATTGAGTTATAAATTTCAGATATAATATTGTTACAAAGTTGATGCAAGCTACTACCCTTCAGAACCTGAATCGTGCTAAAGGAGTAGACTTGGATAATGAAAAGAGTGCAATGTCTTCTGCTGGGATCCCAAAATCTGATATAAATGCTGCCAAAAAACTCAAAAAACATATAAATCAGCTCATGATGGCTAAGAAACAGTGTGAAAAAAAATTGATCAGCCTAGGCTGGGACTCTGGCTATCAGTATGGGGATGAACTTAAAAAGGTAAGAAACTATATGATCTGAATGAAATATTTTCAAATGAGAATATTGCCAATTTCACTCAAGATTTCACTGGATCTTGGGAAATCATTATAATTATATGATGAAATAGTTGCATGAATTCTCCATATTTCAATTGTTTCTAGGTGCTTTCTATTCAAACAGTGCTAGACCATGTGCTGGGAAGAAAATTTCTGTCCCAATTTTTGCAAACACTAGCTAGTCAGGATCTGATCAGATTCTGGACAGCAGTAGAAGAACTGCATACTGCCCAAAGGAACAATTGGCACCAACTGGGTGCTGAGATTTTTTATACTTTTATTAGAAATCCAATTTCAGAAATCAAGGTGGATAAAACTACCAAGAAGCGAATGGAAGCATTTTTGCTAGGTACTTTCACAAGGTTATAGTATTACAAATGCTGAAGCGCAAAAAAATAGTTTCAAAATTGTGTGGACTATTTTTGATTTTCATCAAGTAATGACTGTGTTGATGAAGTAAGAATGGACTCAAAATTCTTGTATGTCATATCATAATGTGATTCAATTCATAATTTTATTCTGACCCCTTGTCATTGTTATTATTGCCTGAAGATGAAAAGTTTTCAATAAAGTACAGTTTGCGAATTGAAGGTTATACAAATTAATAATATATTCTTTCTAAGTGGATATACCCTGTATGTTATAATTTACTTGGAATTATCTTAAAATTCCCTGATTTCAAAAATATACCATGTCTCACTCCTATCTGCTCATACCATTTTCAAGTAATTCAACGTGAAATATCATAGTTACACTTACACTAGTCATTGTCCGTCATTGTCATTCTAGATGACAACTTAGTTAGGTAGTTAGTAGGCAAGAGCATCTAGGTCGCCTACTATGTTTTCATTTGGATCGACAATGCACTAGTTGAGCTCATCTTGATTATGTTTCTCCAAACAATCCTCAGATTTCAATTTTAAATAGAACGGGATCATAATATATAATTGATAAACTCATATGCCGTATTGGATCTGTTATCTTGAATTTCCAAAATTTGACGAAAGCATCAAATTCTCCAAACCCGCGAAAACCTCCCAGATAGGTACCAATTTTCAACAGAATCGAATCATAATTACAAAAGTCGTCCGCGATATTGGATCCGCCATCTTGAATTTCCAAATTTTGTGGAAAGAATCATAACCTTCAACTCCGAAATCTCCCAGATATTATTTTCGAATGAAATCGCCAAATCATGATTACAAAACTCGTTAGCCATATATTGGATCTGCCATCATGAATTACCAAAATTTGACAAAAGCATCAAATTCTCCGAACTCGAAAACCTCCAGATACCAATTTGCAAACAGAATCGGATCATAATTACAAAAGTCGTCCGCGGTTTAGTTCCGCTATCTTTAATTTTCAAATTTTGAGGAAAGAATCTTAATCTTCCACACCACAATCACCCAGATACCAGTTTTGAATAGAAACGGATCATAATTACAAAAGGCGTTCGCCATCTTGAATTTTCAAATTATGATGAAAGAATCATATTCTCTGACCCCGAAAATTCTATGACACCAATTTTGAATAGAATCGAATCATAATTACAAAAGTCGTCTGCGAATATTGGATCCGCCATCTTGAATTATCGAATTTTGATGAAAATGTCATAATCTCCGACTCCGAAAATCGTAAGATACTAATTTTGAATAGAATCGGAACATAATTACAAAGCTCGTCCGCCATATTGGATCCGCTATCTTGAATTTCCTAATTTTTTCGCTCACAGGAACCTTCTGACAATAACAAACACAACAAGAAAGAATTAATGAAAGCGGTCAAGCTGTTTACGATTCTATAAAGGACATTCATTTTGATATAAGTATATAGATTTTTGAAATCAGAACCTTCTCCTGCTTATACAGGGCATCCCATTTTAAAAAGACATATATTAATTTTTTTTAACCCTATATAGGAATCTGTATGCTAAGACATTATGCATTTAAATATAATTCAGTTATAACCACACATCTTCCATTAAAAACTATTTTCATAGGCAATAGTTTACTATAAAAATGGAATAACTAATAATGAACATAACAATAACATCTCATAAAATAAGCATGAAAAGGAATAAAAAAATATCACCAAGAAGATATTATATTATGTCTTCCAATGTGAATTTTTTCATTGTTATTTTGTTCCTATATTTATCCATATTTCAGTTGAATATGGCGCTTTCAGGTGATAAAGGACCTGAGGTGTTCTATGAAGTACAAAAACAAGTGGTGCATACTATCGAAGACAAATATTACCAGTCATTTTTGATAAGTGATTATTATAAAGAAATGGTCAATGCTATAGAAAATGAAGATGACATGTCTATTGACAGCAACAGATTGATGGAAGAAAGACAAACTTCTACTGATTCTTCTGGTAGTCCTGAAAATAGTTTGAATGTTGGGGATCATTCGAATTATGCCAGAAGAAAACTGGACCAACTTGAAGAAAAACTCAATAACAAATCTCAAGTTAGTCTCATGTTTTCTGTGAATATCAAGAGTTTTGTAACCATTGTTCTTTTGTGGATTTAGACAATTCTTTTGATTCCGATGTAGGCTAAGTCCACCCTGAGAAAAAAATTGGGTAGGTCCCAGAAGTTGCAATTTCTGATGGTCTTGAAGAAATTTTGAAAACCGATTTTTTTTATTTTTGACAACTTTTTTTCTGGATTCCAAGAAATCTATAGTGTTCATCTAAGATACCAACAAAATTCGTTTATGAAGAATTTAAACTCTTTCCTCAATTTTATGCACATTTTACTAATATTTTGCAGAAGTTATATAGCAACAAATTATAAGTAATATTCATAAAAATCATATAACTGCATGATCTACCTTGTTAAGTCCCTTTTATAGTCCTAGGGTTAGGTCAAGTTAATAATCAACTTCAAAACTGTCAGAATTATCTTTTTCGGCAACAAGCAGAATTTTTCCGGCCTAAAAAATAAGTACTTATCCCGGACTAGGCCGGGAACTATCACATCGAAAGTACATACAGAGTGAACAGAAAAATCTACTCCTTAATTTTAGGCTCTTGCTGCTTTGAAATCATCAATGAGGCCAGAATCTAAAGTTTTGAAAAAACTTGAAAGTGAGGTTGAATGGTTACAAGGCGAGAAAAGACAGTTGGAAGCTCATATGACGCGAACAGAAATCTGGGCAGATAATTTGGGGAGATGGAGGGCATATGTACAAACTGCTGAGGTAAAACTTGTCTCTTTGGACGTAAACATATGTTAGCAGGGTTTTTTTTAAATTTCATTACAAAATATTAGCTTCTATTTGGGAGATTACCAATATTTTCTAAGATTCCCTCTCTACCCTATTATTCTGAAACTAATTTTCTAGATATAACAGGGTGAATGAGCCGATTTAAAGCAACTTTGAAAAGTTGAAGAATAAAAATCGGTGTACTTGTCGATTTTACTTTTTTATCTTCACCACCTTGTATCTCGGAAACGGAACAATTTTGGACTGAGGTAAATTGCTTCAAGTCGGCTCAGTTTGCCCTCAGGAATATGTGCTGAGATCGTGTACCGACCTTTTAGGGACACCCTGTATAACATGTTTAAGAAAATGAGTTACAACACAGCAGATATTGAAGTAATTATGAAAATACTGTTTTTATCAGATTAATTCAAATGTACTGACAAGTCGGTGTCAAGATATCATTGAAAATGCGATATTTTGTTCTCACAATGCTGCTGGTATTTGTCAATTTTCCCTTGGTTTCAATTCTGAACCTCGTCAAATAATTATTTTGTAATTTTGAAAATTTTCGGATTTCTAACCAAAATTCATGCTTCAAAGATACCTCAAATTGATTTTTCCAGATATCTGACGAAAAAGAACCACCTCAGTTTGTCTTGGTGGTGCAGATGGCTGAAGATGAGTCGCCGGAAAGTGAAGAAACGATCTGCACCGGTTGGGTGGTGTGCAGAAGCTTGACGCATTTTCAAGAGCTGCACAGAAAGTTGCGCCCTCTGTGTTCTGAGATAAGAAGCTTGGAACTGCCATCGAATACGTTCAAGTTTCTTTTCGGTAAATCGGACAAGTTGACTTTGGAGAGGGCTAAGCAACAAATTCAGAGATATCTGAATGTGAGTGGAAGAACAACTGTTACAGGGCCATTAGATGATAGACTGATAAAAATACTGACGCTCAGAGTTTTTGACATGCATTTCATGAACAGTACGAATATTTTTTCCAACTTTTTGGCATAACAGATACACAATAATTATTACTCAACAATTACTTATCAAGATTCTCAAAATAGAATATTTTGTCACTTTTACCAATTCTGAACTAAATTATGTATGTTCTTTTTTTTTTAGTTTGTGCTGAAAGATGACAGACTGAACCAAAGTGAAGCCATATATTCGTTTCTGAGTCCTAGTTCTGAGCATTTGAAACACTCTACACCTAGTCCCAAGAAATCGAGATTCTTCTTTTCAACTTTTTTCAAAAGGTACAATAATCACCTCTCAAATATGATTGTTAATTGTTTGCTTTCTCTCATTTTTCAGTGGTAGTGAACCGAGTCGGGACTATGTCTCAGTACTCAAAGAAAGTGAAGAGGAAGATATGTCCCAAGGTGTGGAATCAAACATTGACACTGTAGACTTTGTCCGGACCAATGGACAAACTCTCAAAATGACAGATGATGCCATAGCAGAACCCTTATACAGGTACCTATACAAATATTGTGTTCGTCAATTTACTACCTTGGTGCCGTATTAATTTAAAAAGAGACAATATGCTAACATACTTTGGCTTGTTGCATTTCTCACAACGATAATGATTGCTCGTCTACTTCTAAAATTTATTATGTTATGAAGGTTGTTCTATTTATCGACATCAATTCTCTGGCAATGATTCCGCAGAGTTATCCCCACCATTCGCGTTTACATTCATTTATCCGTATTTGGCGTTTACTTTGTTTACTTTTGAATGATTCAAGAATGCATGGCAGTGACTATCTATTGTTATTTAGTCTGAGATGTTCTTCAGCTAGCTGAGCGAAATCTTCGACATGAGGGGTGTCTTCAAGTACGTGAGAAAGACCCAGATCGGCTTCGTCCAAGTGACGTACGGTCGCAACATCAACTGAAGATTCTGCACTTTTACCATCATTATAATTCGTCAATAACTTTGGTTGACTCGTTTTTATCCATATTTCATTACAAAATGAAGGTATTTTATGGGTCTGTGTTGTTTTTAGACATTTTCAAACATGATTGACAGCTGTTCTAACCAAGAATGTCAGTGGCTACTGCCATGAGTCATATACGTTTCAAAAAATGTTTCAGAACTCCATAAGATGTCTTAGTTCCCTCTCCTATCAGCAGTGAAATAAAGTTAGCTGCACAGCAGTAATTCAGCATGTCAGTTATCCGCTTATAGGCGGTTCTTAGTCGCTTCGAGGCCGTACCAAAAAATACTAATGTGCCATCCTCAGAGTAAATAGTTGAAAATGATTATTTATTTGGCTCATTCTGCGGAGAAGACATCTCATTCTAAATTATTCTATATTTTCATGTACCTGTGAAATATCAGGTTAGGATATTTGTATATAATTTTTCTTCACAGATTTGACACTGCTGACTGCCGAACCATATCTATTCACATAATAGACTTCTTGAGATTTATGATATTAAATGAGTTACTGAAACACTGAAAACTCACCAAACAACACCCGTAAACCCATTGATAACAACAAAAAGGACACATGATATTTCTAATAGGGATTATTGCTCGTCTTCTACAACTTTGCAGTGCCGCATCTTTATATAATAATTCATATTTATAGCTTCATCATTATTATATGAGTAGGTGAATTATTTTGTTCTGAGGTTATTCTATTTATTTTCTTCCGCAGAGTTATCCCCACCATTCGTGATTTCATTCATTCATCCGTGTTTGCCGTTAACTCTTCAATTATTTATCAATGAATCGCCATGTCATTCAGTCTGATATGTTCTTCAGCTTGCTGAGCGAAATTTTCGACATGAGAGGCGTTTTCAAGTACGTGAGAAAGACCCTGATCGGCTTCGTCCAAGTGACGTACGGCCGCAACATCAACCGACAGATCTACGAGACCGTCTCGTGGTGGTTCTCCGAGGAGATGCTCCACTACTACGCCGCCTTGGCGCTGAGGAGCTTCTGGCCGGGCGGCACGCTAGCCGAGGCTGGGCCGCCCAGGGGTCGGGCGGAAAGACGGGGGGCGGCCCTGAAGGCGCAGGAGATGTTCGTGAACAACGTGCCCGAACTGCTGACAACGCTGGTGGGGAGTAAAGCTGCGCGCAGCGGGGCCAAGCGGGTGTTCGACGCCTTGCAGGAGAAGAACATGAACAAGCAGTTGTTTTATGTGAGTATTTGTTTTATTTATTTATTGAACAAATAACTTTCAATAGAATGAAGAGATTTTGTATTTCCTGTAAAATTTATTATCAAATTGCAAAGTGCTTTCGGCTTAAAAGCCATCATCAGTGCTATACCTGCAAGTAAGTAATATTTATGAAAATTTAAAAAACAAATCCAAAAGTGTAGATTACTTACTCGTCAAGTATTTACAAAAAGGTCCAAAAAGTTCCCTAATGGATTATTGTAAAATTTTCCAAGAATAAATTTTAAAAATTTGTTTAGTTCAGGTCCTGGAAGAGCACGAGGGACCTTAACTTTTATAAGACTGACGAAGACGTGACATTTTTGATCATGATAATATTGTTGACAGAGACTGAGTGTCAATGTCAATGACTGAGTTAAAATGAGTGTGAAGTAGACAAGTGACATAGTGACCACAGAGTGCGAGAAAGAATTGACAATGTGAGCAAATTGGGTGTCTGAAAATTTTGGAAAATAAAATGAGATGAAATGGATTGCATTCCAGGCCAAAGAGCAACATAACAACCTTTGTAATAAACATTGGGAAAAGAGATTTCCAATCAAGACTTCAAACTGAAAGTCAAAAAAAAATTCCTGTAGTCGAAAGCCTCATAAGAAGTAAACATACCACTAGAATACTTCCAGAGGGAAGATCGAACTCAAGTCCTAAAAGTAAGTCGGATCCTGATTGCAATTTCCGTTGTGTTGGGTGAAAATTGAAGAGCAGGACTTTCATTTCGGACTTAAAAGTCGTAGTGTTCTAGCCAAAGGCCCAAGGGTGCTCAACAATAACTTCCCAAATAACTTCCAGACAGAATAGGCTCTGGTATTAGGAAGTACCAGCAAAGTACATGATTATTATATACCTATAGGTGAACATTACATCATTCAAAATATATCAACAACTATAAATTGACAAACAAAGAACAATATTTGTAGAAAAAACATGGTAAAACGACATGATTAATTTTATCCAATTCGCTCAGAAATAATCAGTTTTTTCACTTCATTTTTGATTGTACCTATATTTCTGCTATTTTTGATATTGCCAGGTAGTATATTGAATTCAGTTTAGGCTGAATGAGTGAATCTTTTTTGTCCGACTATGGAGCTAGCGGCGTTAAGATGAAACAAGTTATATTGTCTAGTTTCATGATTATGAATTCCAGAATTCCGTATCAAAAATCAATTTCTCATTTATGATATTATACAATATTTCGAGAGTTTCAATTCTATATATTTCATCTAGAGAATATGTATTTGTTATTTCATAAAATTGTTTGGTTGGTGTATCAAATGGGAGCCGATACAATACTTCTAACGATTTTCTACATAATTTTGATATTTTATTGAAATTATATTTTGAACAAGATCCCCAAACATTTATTAAATAGTTGATACGACTCAGTATATGAGAGTAGAGGATTGTGTTTGCAATTTTAAAATCAAGTTTGGGACATTTTCTCAAACAAAACATTAATATGTTTGTCCCACTTCAACCTGATCAAACCAAATACAAAGATATTTTATCTGGTCAGTTTGTTTTGAGAGTTCATCATCAAGGATTCTTGCCTTCATATAAAAGTACTGTATCATCTGCACACATGATATATTTACACACTAGACCAATTTCACTGATATTCTGATTATAAAGTAAATATAGTATAGGTCCTAAAACAGAGCCTTGTGGGACACCCTTATTAATTAATAGTTTATTTGACACAGAGTTGGTAGATTTTGTATTAATTGTCCTATTTTCAAGATGTGAACCGGGTGACGGCACGTTATTAAGTGTCACCCCCTAGAACATTTTTACAGGGTGTTCCTGAAAGGTCTTCACAAACACTTACCTCAGTACAAAGTTTCTTAGTTGATAGACAGCTGTGAAGTTACAATGTTCAAATCGATTTTGCTCCATAACTTTGAAATGGCTCATGAGATTTTACTCAAATGTGGTATATTGGCGTAGCTTCATTGGGCAATAAATTATATATCATGATTATGATGAATATCATTCCATGGGTGAAGAACTGGATTTTTTCAGTAAATAAATATCCAAAACTTTTGCGCTAATGAATAGAACGAGGTTTTGAATATTAAATTCCGATTGAGTATCACTACAAGAAAGATACTGCAGATGAAATTAGCTTACTCTCATGAATTCGACAAAATTTAAATTTCAGTAATTCAATTCATTAGTCAACACCTAATATTTGGACTCGACATCGCGATTTTCAGTCTGAGCCAAATCCACGGTACAGCGATTTATTTGCTGCTATTTTTCCGGATATACTTCCATCATATGATAACGAATTGAAACAAAAGCAAATAAAAGGAAAAAGTCTCCCCATTGCGAGTATCCAACCGTGCCGCGATTCAAGAAGATCTAAGTTAGTGACAGACCGTCAATATTTCCGAGAATATTTCGTTCCTGTCGAAAGATAATATCCGATGGACCAGTGTAAAACTCTACATGTAGATTAGAATACTTGTAGTACGAGCACCTTATGAGTTCCACACTGGTTCATCGGATATTATCTTTCGACGAGAGCGAAATATTCACGGAAATATTGACGCTCTCAGATCAGTTTGAATCGCGGCACGTTTGAGTATTCGAAAAATTCGTCCCCCCTGGAGCGTTATAGTCATGTGAAAGAGGGTCCAAGATGATGTTTTTTTGTCAATATTCCCGAAACCCTCTGGATTTGTAAAGGTCCCCGCACCGCATCAATGGGAAATTGGCTTTCGGTGAATTCACTCCAATTTTTGATATATTGTAAAGCTCGTGGTGCTGATCAAATGTCTCCATTGCACCAACACTCCAAAATCAAGATTATATAGGGTGATAAAGTCGTCTTTTTCCAAAAATTTTCGAAATTTTCCGAAAACCATAGAATTATTCGCTATGTTCCGACCCACCTTGTATATTGTTAGTACGTGCAGGAATTATTATACTTCATAGTAGATTCGTATCGGTCATTCGAACAATCAATGAACAATTGATTTGGTTTTGAAATTATGAAAGGTGTCTTCACAATTTTCATCTGAAATTTTGGAAATGCCAACTTTATCACCCTATATGATCTTAACTGTTGATTTTAGAGCGTTGGTGCAATGGAGACATTTGATCAGCACCACGAGTTCTACAAAATTTCAAAAATTCGAGTAAATTCACCGAAAGCCAATTTCCCATTGATGCGGTGCGGGGTCCTTTAAGAATTATCCGAAATTTTGATCAGGGACGTGGAAAATAGGTGGGGCTAGGGAGAGGCATTTCTTCTCACAATATTTTTTCTATGCAATTTTCGGCAGTTTGACCAGGAAATATGAAAATATCATTTGCATTCCAATATGATACTCCTGTTTTGATAGCACTCACCATTTTTGAGATAAATCATTTTTAAAAGTCTGCTTGATTAACTGAACAAGGGTATCATTTTTAGGTGAAAATGATGATATTTCCATATTTCCTCGCCGAACTGCCGAAAATTGCATAGAAAAAAAAAGTTGCGGGAAGGAATGCCCCTATCCCCGCCTATTTCCCACGCCCCTGATAAAAATTTCGGAAACTTCACATTTCCAAATCGAGCAGGAAAAGTAGGGAATATACATGTTCCTAGAATCTGTCATTGAAATCTTTCTATGTAATCTCGGTACACCCTGTGTATTAAATATTCACCAGAGAAGCAAATAAACTTCTTGAAGAGACTAATATCCAGTTTTTTATTTCAGTTTTGTAGCAATAAAATAATTTGACTTCTTCAATATCACACGGAATTTCATCATACAAATAAGAAATCAAATTTTTATAGTTTCTTTGTCCAATTGTTTCATCAGATTTATATTTCAATGTTCTGTTTTTGTTTCTTATATCAAAGGTGCATTTTTTTTATTTAATATCATTTCTGTTTTTGAACATGTAAGTTTTGGGATTCTTTGTATAAAAGATCAGTTGGAAATACATAATCTTTCACATAAATAACTTCCAATTTTTTCAAGTAATATGTTCATTTACTCGAAATCGCTAATTTCTATCTATCTATATATGAATGACGAACGTACAGACACAAAATGAAAATTTTAATTATGAAAGTTTTATTAGTTTATTCATTTCTCTCTGGGATTTTCTCTCCTCGTTTCTACAAATATACTAGATAACATCATAATATATCTGACAAAAATATTAATTTTCCCGTATTTATTTCCAGAACTGAAATAATCATAAAGAATCTTTGCATTTTCGAAAAATTCTCTATTTGTTTCAAAAATAATCATCTCTCATTTTGAGAGTAAGGAGGTAGTTATTGAGAATCACCATGTAATGGAGGTGCCGATAAAAAAAAATCAGATGATGTCAATAGTCACAAAATAAGAAAAGCTATTACCTTGTACCAATAGCATCCATATTGTGATGTAATCCTAAAAGCTTCTCAATATTATTTATAATTGGATGGTAGATAGTTATTTTATTTTCTTCCCCAAGAATCACAGCTATAAATAAAGGAGAATGATAATTATTTTCACCGTTATTTTCACTTTGTAAGAACTATTGAAACATACCTGAGCCTATTTTCCCTTTATAACAATTTCATCAATCAAAATCACGATTGCATCAAGAACAAAACTATCACAACACTCACAATAAATAAATGATTGAAAATAAGCTGCCTCGAATACCTACATTCCTTAAATCAAGGACAAAAAACTCCACATTTTTTCGAATCAAGAAAAAACCGTGTACCCACGTTCCACAAAGTCTTGTGTTCATGTTCATACGAGGGGATAGCGATAAGTTTTTGTCATTGAATTTTGTCCCTGTTGAAATATGAATAACATTTTTCTGCTTCGAACAATTTGAATTCGGACTACACTGTTCCCTTGCCCAGTCCTTCAGATATAATCTCGTTCTTCTTCAAAACATAAGGTTTTTCATATAAAATCGCTACAGGGTGTCATCTGAAACTGTGAAGAATTTAGGAATTTTCAGAAGGATCCCAAATGAACAAAAACTTTTTTTTCAACTCTGACAGCAGAGGCATGAAGATGATCCCATTACCTAGGGACATTTTTCAAATTGTCTCCGTATCTCTTCTATTTGAAGCTGAAACTTCAGATGGAGAAATATGAATTTCAGAATTGACTCAAGATGAACATTATACAGTGTATCTCACTTCTAATGAAAGCACCCGTGTATGTTTCGTAATTGTTGAGTTAGGAATCAATTCACACAATGATGAGAATAAATTAAAATAAAGAAACATATAAGAGTTGATTAAAAAATGTCATCGACTATTATTGCATTTTCTTTAAGCCAACTTTCAACTTCTTTTTTGAAAGTTTGATGTTTAGACGTCTTAATTTTGATGGTATTTCATTATAAATTTTAGATTCAATAAAACTTGAATGTTTTTCTGAAATTCTAAGCTTATGTTTTTCAAGTCGAACATTGTTGGTTTTTTTTCTTATATCATAACTATGATTGATTTTATTTGTTAAAGCCGGATTCTTTTTAATAAAGATTGATACGCCTCATAGATCAATAAATAATAGCAACATTATAATTTCGATTTTCACAAAGACTGTCAGAAATTTTCTGCATGTTGAGAAGAGTCTTAAATGAAAATACCGGTGATCAAATTTCTTAAATAATCAATAAATTTTATTTCGTTACAGGAGATATTAGAAGTCACTTTGGATGCTGTCTTTCCTGAACTCAGTTGAAAATAAGGTGAGTTTGATGAATCAATAACGTTTTTTTAAGTACAGGTTGATTCAAACTTCCCACCCTTGGCTCATAACAGGAAAATAAAATAACATGTATCAACGTTCCTCCAAGTTTTCAGGATACAACAATATAATGTCTATGTTGTCAGGTTTTGGATATCAAAATGTATCCAACTTCAATAACACGTATCATATTCTGCAAGAATGTTGACTTTTTTTTTCATCATAATGAAACTATGATTGATGTGATGAATTTATTTGAAATTTTCTATTTCATGTAATGAACAATCTCTTATATAATTCACCCATGTGGTTCAAAAACTATTCATTTTGATTACTCAAGACCACTTTTTTGGTTGAAACATGGTATTACTATGACACTTATCACAGTGACATTCCTATCGGTCCAAGCATTATAAAAATCCGTAAAAATCACAATTTCGCCAAATTTGGTGAAACGTGGGATTACCATTAAGCCTTCGAAATGCAAATGTGTCATGTAAGGTTTATTTTTCTGTATTTGAACATTTTTCAACCTCTCTCAAAATGGCGGTAATGACGTCAGAATAATTATTTTTTCTACAAAGTCACCAATTATTTCTCATATTGTGGAAAAACATATTTTTTTTAAACAACTTTTATTGAAACAGTTTTTTTTCTATCTTAATTTGGTTGATATTCATTTTAAAATGCCAACTTCAGAATCCCATAATTTTTAACCAAATAAACATAGAAAATAACTTTTCGGATAAAAGTTGTTTAAATAAATATGTTCTTCCAGAATAGGTAAAAAATGGTATACAACTTTGTGGAAAAAATATTTCTTCTGACTTCATCGCCGTTATTTTGAAATGAGTTGAAAATTGTTAGCTATTCAAATCCTCTCTGCCAAATTTGCATTTCCAGTTTTCCTTTCTCAGTTATAAGCCAAGGTCGGGAAGTTGGAATCATCCTGTCCTGATCATCGATCGACCTTGATGAACATTTTGTTCTTTATCTAGATATATGAAAAACAAATTCATCAAATGAGTCACTTCATTTTTCGGCTGTAATCGATGATATAATATACGATCAATTTCATGCATTCAAAACTCAAAATGTATCATCAGGATTTTTTTTCACAAAAACTAACAAAGGATTCTCATACCTGTACCGATTTACATCATTCAAATCAAATGAAAATATCGTGTATTGTCAATTAAGATATAATACCTAGTAGATGAAGTTGGATGAGATACTCACATTTCTGACAGATGACTCGATTTTTTTTCGAGCTGCTGGTCCAGTCAGATAAAAATGTCTTGGCGTAGTTGCATTCAAAAACAGAGAGAGTTAAGAGACCTAATACTGTTAGAGAATGGATTTTTGTCTCATATTCAAACTTCATTTCAGTATCATCTGAACATCGCCACCCATTTATCCTGCAAAGTTTTGTTGACTGAGTTTGTTTTCAGCTAGATTGTTGATTTTTATAATGCGGAACTGTGGATTATACTTTGACTTTGTTAGAATTTTAATAAATGGTGTAAAATATAAAAATGTAGCTGAATATATCGATGTATGTATTATTTATGTATAATATCCACTATGAGAAATGTAGTAACAACTTTTTTATAATCTTGATTCGTGAATATGACTGATTTGAGGTTTCTGTACGCATAGCCTATATTTTTTTGATGAGCAACGCTATATAAATACAATTTTTGCATCCTTATCGCGTAATATTCTGAACAAAAATGGTTACCAGGGACTAAGGAAATTGAAACTAGAAATAACATTTAAAATTTACTATCATGATCTTGCTGGAGGCTTGTGGCAAGATTCATGATTCTATTCAATACATGATTTTTTGTCAGTAGCTGAAATCACACGAGAAAATTGTTAAGCTGAATCTAAATCCCCAATAACAAATGCAAATAAAAATAATTGCGAATTATCTGCTCCAAAAATATGAAAATCAGGTTGATATTTTTATCTTCGGTATTGTTATAAACATGATTCATTAATAGATCAATTTTCTCATGTACTTCCAGCTAAACAGTTCAACATAAACAATGCTATAAATATGTCTTAACATTTAAAAAACATTTATTTAAAACATTTCTAAGGGACTTATGTTATTGAAAATATCTTATAATTTACATAAATGAAATTTTCGTTCTAAATTTTGTGATATAGGTAGGTGATTTTTATCATATAATTTCACTAATAAATGAATATAGTAATTTATTGAGCCTGTTTTTATTCAAGTACATTGAGCTATAACACTTCAGGTATTATACATGGGTATCAAAGAAAATTTTGAAAATATTTTCAGGCTGAAATTTGCCAAATTTATCCAAATACGTCATTTAGTCAGTTGTTGGCCAAAAGGTAAGTTGCTTCAGACACATTGTTATACTTAAATACTGTGTCAAATGAATGGAAAATGAGATTCAAAAACTTCATTTTCGATTCTTTGATATTTTGATTACATTTATTCCAAAGGAAAGTCTTAGCAATATTAGTGGTTAATTTCAAGAAAAAAATATATTTTTACATTCGTTAGTATAGTTTTCCTGAGCCTTGAAAAACTTTACTTGTCGAATATTGTCTCGATAAAAAAATAACATACATTCCATCTTTATCCTCTGAAAATATAGGTGAATATTTCGCATAGATATACAACGTATTCAACTATATTTCATTTACTCATTTTTAAACAAATCCTATCTCTCAGTCTTAGAAGTTTTTTAACACTGTCATACTATTTATAAAAAAATATTCTTCTAAATATTATACAACATACATTCATAAGTAGGTAAATAACCTATAAACACATATCTTGTAAAATGCTTAAACAATTATTAATTTTTTGGAAATCCTCATGGTAACGTGATATGAAGTTACATACAGAACATTTCCACTTCTCGAAAATGCGTAGACAATTATTGATTTTTTGGTAACGAGATATGTAACATCTATTGAATACACTTATTTTTCTGGAGCAGATTGCTGAAATGCAAATTGAACTGTTCGAATATCTCAAGATTACCAGAGAGGACGAATAAACAAATTGTTGTTTCTGTTTTCATTGATAGTTATCAAGAACCGTGCTAAAATGTTCAATAATTATTAGAGTAGTAAAACAATGTTGATCCATGTGGGAATGCAGAAAAATCAGATCTTGTGATCCAAAGTTTGGCACGAGTAAACAGATTCAACTATTATTACAGTTTATTGTCAGTCACCTTAATTTGACAATATTTTCTATGTACAACAATGAATAATCGGTTTATTTCCTTGGTTAAGTGATCCCGTTTACACGACTCCCAATCGGGCTCACAACAACCCATGCCAAAACCGTTTAGTGTTTGGTTAAAGCATCGACTGTCATGAAACCAGCTGTTACGAATTCGTGTAAACGTTTTCATTCATTCATTCAATAGGTGACTAGATTTTTTTCATTCAGGAAACAGACTCGATGACTTCAGTTTTGTGCAGTGGGGTTATTGATGGTGATCTTTCGATTTCTGGTGTGAATGTTTCGCAGTTCGAACTACAAGGTGTCAAAATTGTCGGTATCAGACTGGCTATTTCCGGACTACTTATTCCAACTGTTTCTTCGTAAACTCGCTCCTGTACAAAAAACACACTCGTCATAACTTATTATCGATATTGTTTTGTAGGCATACATGAAAAACACATTTTTCTATGAAAGTAATAGTTATTACAGTTCACCAAATAAGAATGGGCGTGTACACCTTAGTAGAACTTTTGACTCAAACCATGTTTATAATGATCCTTTTATACATAAATGATGATTGACGACATAATTCGATCGAAAAATTAACTGAAATGTTTTATTTTTGGACATAAATAATATCTATCTGAAAACGGACCCTCTTATGACGTAGAAACCTCATCTCGCCATAGTTAAAAGAAAATACCAAAAGCCCGACGGAGACTGAGGCAACTGATATTTTAATTCTTTCAACTGTGATCTCGTGCTAATTCACTCTGTCAGAAAACATGGTATCATTCATCTCTGTCGGGAATAGTCTTGTTTCAGTATTAGGGTTATGACGTCACATCATCGCCTCGTTTTCAGAGGTCCGGAAAATCGGGGATTTCAATAATTTTTTATAAAACGTAGGGAGCACACAGCAAGAAACGGTTTGCGGTGGTGAGCTAGTTTGGGTGAGTTCTATCGAATTATGAAATACATTTTTTTTGTGATATAAGCCCATTACATAAGAACTTTGGAGTATAAAAAATATTTATTGGCTGAAGTAAATGATCATATTCCCAATTCTTTCGAATGTTTCGGAATCAGGAGTTCCTTGGAAGACCCAGAACGTTGAAGATTCTATAGCATTCAGCATTCTAGAACATTCTGGAAGAGAATTTAATATTCTAGGAGATTTTAGAACATTTTAGAGCATTCTTGAACTATCTGGAATTCATATAATATTCCGGAATATTCTGCAACATTCTGGAATGCTATATATTATTCAAGATCACTCTCAAACATTATGGAACATCATTGAACAATCTGTAACATCATGGAACATTCTGGAATATCCAGAAACTCTCTAGCAAGTCCACTTTGGCACTCGATAAGAAGCCAATTTAGTAAGGATATAACAGGACTTTGACTTTTCTCTTTTTCTCTTTCTCGGGAATGTATAGATGAGGCCAAAATACCAGTACAGTAAATATCATCGGTACTTGTTTCCACATACCTCTCCGTTACTAAGTTAAGGGCCTTCGAAGTCACAAAATGGAAAATTTTGTTCTTCGACTTTTCAAATGTCTTTATTCAGTAGGAATAAAATATTTCGCCATTATGAGGGAACCATCTCATAATTTTCAGGATATACTAGCACGAATTGATGAAAACATCAGTTGATTAAACACCAATGAGAACCACGATGAACACAAAATTTTTGTTTCTATTCCAGTTGTTAGGTTACCGCGTTATCTGTTTTTTTCCCTTTGGTTAGCTCAGAAGAGATTCATAAGAATTTGTTTCGATCTAAAATCTGTTGAATCTACATTTTGATGTTTCTTACCTGAGATTTGTCATATTTCAACCTCTTCCAAATAAATTTTCCAGTATTCTGTGCAGGTCCTGCTTCGTTATTAGGCGAGTAATAATTGGGATTCGAAAAACTTCTACTGGCTCCGTACAGATACTTCTTTTTTCCCTTTTTGATCAACAAAAAAGTTACCAGAATAACGCAAACCAATATGATGAAAAGCATGGGAACCAACGTCATGATATAGAAGGTCGTCGAATGGTCAGACGACTTCGCTTCCGTATCATCTTCTAAATTGCTGTTATCGTACGGATCGTAGATCTTCACTTCTTCGTCGTAATCGCCGTTTTCTCCTTCTTCCTCGCATTTGAAATTACTACCAGTCGGACACTTCGAAGAGACAACATAATTAGGTTCTGTTTTACAAGTGGGGTCGAACTCATCAGGACATCCGCAGGTATAGTTCTTCAATTTAAACAAACACATATGACTGCATCCACCATTATCTACAGCACACGGGTTCCAACCCTGTTGTCTATCTTCTGTAACCATGGTCACCCCCATAGCTGCATCCAGTTGGGGTCTTACAACGATTGCGTCTTTACCCGTGGTCTTCTCTGCTCTTATAACAGTCTTCTGCACCCAGTCTGTCCAATATATATACTCTTTGTATTGTGTGAGAGAAAAAGGATGTGAAGCTTGAATGTTCAGTATAACCCTGTTACCCCCATGCAAGTCAGTCGTCTCGATTCTCTCGTTATTCAGTTTCGCATCCACCCAGTACAACCTTCTGCCCACGTAGTCGATCATCAAGCCAATGGGAAATGTCATTTCAGTCTTGACCAGGTCCCTTCTTCTGGACCCATCCAGGTGTGCCCTTTCTATCTTAGGAACTCCCCAATCCGTCCAGAACAAGAAGCCCTTCTTCGGAAACACTACTATAGACCGGGGATCGTGCAGGAACTCTTTTATGATCGTTTTGCGATTAGAACCATCCAGTCTGGATACCTCTATAACCTTGTTGCCAGTGTTGGTCCAGTAAATATTGTTAGCTATCCAGTCCACAGCTATTCCATCTGGTGTACTCAGGTTTCTGCTGACAACCGTCTTCACATCAGACAGATTGTACATGCAGACACTCTGTATCACATTCCTCTGGATGTCTGAGTAGAAAATCATCTTCTTCTCCCAGTGAAAGTCCACAGCTATGGCGTTGTGGATCTCGTCGATGGGTAAAGTAGTATCCCAGGCATCGTCAGTATCCAGACTGATCTGGCTCAAGGCGTACCTCGTGGCTATCAACAGGAAGGTTTGAGGTATCAGCTCGCAGTGTTTGTCGTTATTCTTCGACTTGCTCAGTCCTGTGGGGCATGCGCAAGTGTAGGAGTCGGGGTTCCTCAAGCACAGGTGCGAGCAACCGCCGTTGTCAGTCCCACAAGCGTTTTCTGCTATGTTGTCGCTTTGGACGGATCGCACGTCCATCAGACCCTCTAGCTTGTCTCTGATGATGGTCCTGTCTGCTCCCGAATTCTTGTCAGCTCGATGTAGCGCCCTGGTTTGCCAGTCAGTCCAATAGATGTGGGTTCCGACCACTACCAGCCCATACGGGTGAGGTACGTTGGTGAGGATCAGCTTTCTGTCTCTCCCGGTGAGGTCGCTGGATTCAATCGTGTTCAGCTTGGCGTCGTTCCAGTAGAGCCTGTTGGAGGGTCTGTCTATGGCGAGCCCATTGGGCCAGCTGAGTTTCTTGGATATCAGGGTTTTTCTGTTGTTTCCATCCATGTGTGCCACTTCGATTTTCGCCTGTTTACCCCAGTCTGACCAAAACATCAAACCGTGGTGATAGTGCAAGGTGATAGCTCTGGGATTGTCTAGGTCTCTATGGAACAAAACTTTCCTATTCTTTCCGTCAAGTTCTGCCACTTCCACACTATTTCTTTGTCCGTCTGTCCAGTATATCTGCAAAATCAACATTTCAGTACACTGAGTTCATTTTCACGATCACTTACTTTCCGTCCTGTTGAATCTATGGCAATGCCATCAGGTGTCTCCATTTCATGCATGATTATCACTTCAATCTTCTTCCCATCTGGTGTCGCTTTCTGTATGGTATCCTCAGCTGTATCAGTCCAGTATATTTCCCCAGTTTTCCTATCGACATCGACGGATGTTGCTAGCTTCAACTGTGGCAAAGGCAACACAACATCTGCCATGTAAGGAACGTCCAAAGAAATAATTCTGATGTCCATCCGGTGGGCAAGAATCAGAAAATTGACTGGTCCAGCAGCACAAGTTTTGCCATCCTCCTGTAATATCAGAGACGTCAAGAGGTCGATTACTCTACGTGATTGATTTACCGCTAGTTTTATTCCTGTTGGACAAGCACAAGAATGTCCTTTGGGTCTTAGAAGACAGACGTGGGTGCATCCCCCATTTTTGTTGCTGCATGGATGTCTGATAGTTTTCCTGGTCCTATGGAATACTTTCACATCCATTAGATCATTCATATTATTCGAGAGTACTGTTCGATTTTGTCCTGTCACCTTATTAGCTCTCTCTATGTTCTTTGTATCCCAATCGGTCCAGTAGATGTGGTTGCCGAAGATGTCTAGGCCGAAAGGGTGAGGTATGCTGCTACCACCTGTGATAAAGATAAACCATCAAGAATATGTACATTTGTCGCATGTGACTTTCGAACCTAGCAGGACTTTTCTGTTAGAACCATCCAAGTTGGCACACTCTATGCTCCTTGATCCAGCATCTGTCCAATAGATCTTGCTAGCCGAATGATCCACAGCCAAACCATTTGGCCAGGTGAGATTGATGCTGGCAATGACCATGCGATTAGTTCCATCCATGCTAGCTCGTTCTATCTTCGGCTTTTCCCCCCACTCTGACCAGTACATCAGTCCACCTAATGAAAAATGAATCAATACAAAACCAGTTCTTTTCTAATGGAGAATTGTACCTTGTGGATCAACAACGATATCTCTAGGCTTATCTAACTCCTCCCAGATAAGTAGGGATCTCATGGTACCATTCGCGTTGGCAACTTCGATTCTGTCAGTACCAGCATCGGTCCAGTAGATTTTATCAGTGGCCCAGTCCAGAGAAATACCAGCTGGAGAAACTATAACATAAGAGCATCAATGTATACGAATACATGCAACACCGATCTTCAATATGATAGTCGCCGAGGTACTTACTCATGTTGTAGTGCATCAGTACTTCTTGTGCTGTACCGTTCCAGAATGCTCTGTTCAAGGAGTTACGCTCTACGTCCGTCCAGTAAATGAAATCCGTTTTCGAGTCCCATGCAATGGCAACGGCTGACTTTATACCTTCTACAGGTATCACCATTTCGTACTGGTGCTGGGAGTTGGTATCCAGGTACTTTAGCCTCAGATCCTTTTTCCTCGCGAACAACAAGAATTTGTCCGGTTTCTGGCAGCTCTTCTTGTCTGCCTTCAGCTTCTGTCCCATACGACAAACGCAAGTGTGAGAACTTTTGTTGGGCAAGCACATGTGGGCACAGCCTCCATTATTGGTACCGCATCGATTCGGGTAACTAGGCTGTCTTTGTGGGTGGTAGCTGTGTATGTCCATGGGAAAGTGCAGCTGCGAGTGGATAGTACGCAGTCCGGCGCCAGTTATTTTGTTAGCAGTCGAGATAGCTTTAGTGTGCCAGTCTGTCCAGAAAATAGCATCCTCGAATATTGTTATGGCAAAAGGATGTGGCAAACCTTTACTGATCACTTTTTTCCTATTCGAACCATCGAAACTGGCCGTTTCAATTACGTTGTGCTTAGCGTCGGCCCAGTAAAGTTGATTTGAGGTGTAGTCTAGGGTCAGTCCGTTCGGCCAGAACACACTTTCAGTGACGATGCTCCTTCTGTTGGTGCCATCCATTTCCGAGCGTTCTATCTTCGGATTGGGGCCCCAGTCGGTCCAGAAGACGAGAGCTTCTCCAGGGTGTACGGCTATAGCTCTCGGTTTGTCGACGTCACTCGCAGCTATAATCGCTCTTTGGTGTCCATCAAGAGAAGCTACCTCTATTCTTCTGGTGCCTGAATCCGTCCAGAAGATAAGGTCGTGGATCCAGTCCAAAGCTACTCCTCCGGGTGACTCCAAACCAGATTTGATTATATCTGCCAATAGTAAGATTGTGAATAGGTGCCGGATATCTTTCTATCGACTCACCTGTAGTTCCTGTACCATTGATATTAGCTCGTCTTATAACGTCCATGGATACATCCGACCAGAAAATGTACCCTTTCGTGTAATGGTAGTCCAAGGATATGGCGTTGTGTAGGCCTTTGAGTAGGGCTGTGTATTTCGAGTTACTCAGAGAAACCTGGAACAAATTATTTTTGTCATGGCTCGAAAAGTTTGTAGATTACTTCTACCTGTCGGATGTCCATTCTATTGGCGAACAGTAAAGTGGGAGGCGCTCCCATTGCCTTACAAGTCCTTAGATCTGGTCTTAGGATGTATCCAGTCATACATCCACACTTGAAACTTCCTATGGTGTTATTGCATGTTTGTGAGCACACTGGATCAGTAGCGTACATACATTCGTTGATGTCTTCACAGCTAAAACAATTAGATTAGTCAGGTGAGTTATGTTTCATATTGCCTGATACATACTTGAATCCATCACTTGCAAGTTGGTATCCATTCAAACAAGAGCAGCCTTTCTTCCCGTCAGCTGTGTTGACACATAGCTGTTTACAGTGGGTGTTGTGTTCGCATTCTCTTTTAGTCGGACAATTTTTCTCGTCTTCTCCTTTGGGACAGTCTTTCTGTCCATCGCATCTGTGTTTCTTATTGATGCAGAATTCTGTAGCTGTGTCGTTCAGTCCTATTCCGCTGCATGGGAATTTGGATGCCTCGCATACTATTTCACACTTTGATTCGTCTTCTCCCATTGGACAGTCGTTGAATCCGTCACAAACCCAAGTTTTCTGAAAAGTTGATTGTTTCAACTTGACCTTGGAAGGTTTATGAGGAAGTCGGGCTTACCAATATGCATGCTCCATTTTCACAAGTATACTCATCCGCAGAACACGTTTTGGTTACATTATAGTCGCAATTATCTTCGTCTTCATTTTGATCACAATCTTGCTGTTTATCACATCTGTACCTTTCTGGAATGCATTTGCCGCTGTTGCATCTACAAAAACATAAAAACGTGTTACAAGGTCAGGTCATTTTATGAGTTCATGAAGTCGGATATTGATTTGGAGTATTTATTGTGGGTGAATTACTTGAATTCGCCTGCTACGCATGTTCCAGGTATCTTTGGACAATCTTCTTCATCGCTCCAGTCTTCACAATCATCGTCACCGTCACATTTGAATTCCTGTTTTATACATTTGTGACTTGCGCATTGAAATTCATTTTCGTTACAATATGGTGGAGTTATATCTGAAAAAATTCACCCATAGTAAAACGCACGATTTTTATTAATCCATTGGACATGTGACTGGCTGTTGGACTAGAATTTCGCATACCGATTAAAAGAAAAATTCAATAAATTGATTCGTTATATCGTCGAATACTCTATGAATTTTATCAATCACAAGACTCTGTGGGTTCAAAAATACATTTTGTTTATCCAACTCACCACATTCATTTTCATCTGAACCATCTGTACAATCTCTATGTCTATCACATTTCCAGCTGATGGAAATACAGGTTGTATCCGAACATTCAAATTCATTAATAGCACACCTACAAACAGAATTTGCTTAAAATGCTTTTCATACGAAGAACACAACTACTCAATTAATTCGGGTCTCGCGTAGTTAAAAAACCACCTCGACAAAGGTATTTCTTACCCCATTTTCGTACAATTCACTTCGTCAGAGAAATCTTTGCAATCGTTGTCATTATCACAGGTCCATAGTTTCGGAATACATAGCCCATTTTCACATTGGAATTGATCTATCGTGCAATTCATGGTATATCCTATAAATAGTTATTTTCTTGATAGGTGGCCAAAGTGTTTAAGTCAGTTTATTTTACCACAATGAGTCTCATCGGAGTAGTCTCCGCAATCATCATCTCCATCACAAAGCCAATCTTTGGAGATGCACCTGTTGGTCCTAGGGCACAAAATGAAGTTATTCTTATCGTCACATTTGATTTCGTGGTGTTCGCAGTCTATTTCGTCTTCATTGTCACCACACTCGTTCTTGCCATTGCACCTGGAAACAAGAAAGTCGGTTCACTTACATGCCAAACACAACCAAAATTATACTGATCTGGCAAAAACTTTCGACTAGTCAGATCAATTTTTCAATTTCCTTCCTACCTGATTTCATCTTTGAAGCAGCTGCAACCATTATGGCACAAGATTTCTCCATATTTGCATACTCTGTCACAAACTGGCAGGTGCTGGTCTGGCAGAAGCTTCAATTCGTCTTCATCTTCTTCAGGTTGCTTCAGATTGTAGTTGTCACTCATATCATCGTAATCACCATGCCTTTACCAGAAAAGAATTATGTTTTCAATTTGGAATTTTTAGAAAAAATGTATCGATTTTTTTACTTGCTGGAAGTCCACAGTAATTGTCCTTAAAGTTGTAGTCTAGATGAACATCGTTTTTCCACCACCAATCAGAGAAATCACCTTGTTCAAAGATTTTCTCTGATGATAAGTAAAACTTTTTCAACCAATTGGTAAATGATGATGAAGAAAGTTTACTTAGGTGAGTAAAGAAATACTGTCAATAGTGTTAATGGTATGCAGGATATGTAGATACTGATGCATATGCAACAAATGAAAAATTGAACATACATTATTTTTATTTACCCAAACGTAAACCAAATTGCTGTGGAATTCACTGCAGCTGAAAGCAATTTTTCAAGTTATAAAAAATGTTTGGAATTATACAGGGTGTTTCAAAAAAACCTGACTTCCTCACTAGGGTAGGTAGAACACTGCAAAATAAGTTGGGTTTACTCAGTAAAAAAATTTCGTAACGGCATCCGTTTTCATGATACAAGGTGTTGAAAAAATGATTTTTTCACACGTTTTTCACGATTATGTCGAAACTACTGGCAACATTGTAATGCAATTTTGTATGGATGTTTCTTGAAATCTGACACATCGCATGAATTTGTTTTTATATCTGACTCTCATAGAGGGCGCTAGTTACACGGTTCGTACCGACTAGTTTTGAACATTACTTTTTTGAGGTTAGATTTTTCAATCCAAATTTGATGTGAACTCGAGCATCATTCAATTTCACACCAAAAAGGTACTCCTGGAAAAACTCGATACTGTGTTCCGTTTTCGGAATATTTCGATTTGAAAATGTAGAAGTGATAACTGTTGCTGGTATAAAAAGCTATGTATCAGAGTGAGTATTATGAAAAATAATCACCTATTTATTGAAAACCGTAAACAACAATACATTTCTGATGCTTAACTTATTGATTTAACATTGAATCACAAGAATAACGAAACAGATTTGACTAAGAACATGGATCACACAGTATAGTTGTATCTTGAGCAGAAAGTCTATGCTACATAGGTAAATTCACGTCAAGAGTTGTAAGACATAATTGAACATCACTTAAATGACCTAACAGCTGATCCTCAAATGTTTGAAAGAATAATACAGTCTTAAGAAAAGAATATAGAATCGTGAATTCGTCGAAACGTAGGACATTTTGAACACTTACTCTAACTGATTCAATATTTCATGTTTCTAGTCAAATATCTCTTAATTTTCTACTCATGATTCTTTGTTTCATCAAAAACTTCGGCATAGGAACAATTCCATTGTCTTTTAATCTGAATAAATAGGTAATTGAACTATCATTACTACTCCATTATTTTCAAATCGAAATATTCCGAAAACGGAACATAGTATCGAGTTTCACCAAGAGTACGTCTTTGATGTAAAATTGAATGATTCTTAAGTTCATATCATATTTGGATTGAAAAATCATACCTCAAAAAAGTTATGTATTAAACTACTCGGTACGAACCGTGTAACTAGCGCCCTCTATGAGAGTCAGATATAAAAACAAATTCATGCGATGTGTCAGATTTCAAGAAACATCCATACAAAATTGCATTACAATGTTGCCAGTAGTTTCGACATAATCGTGAAAAATGTGTGAAAAAATAATTTTTTCAACACCTTGTATCATGAAAACGGATGCCGTTACGACATTTCTCCACTGAGCAATCCCAACTTATTTTGCAGTGTTCTACCCTAGCAAGCGGGTCAGGTTTTTTGAAACACCCTGTATAATGTTTATCAATTCCGAAAATGTCACTAGTAATCCTCATAGATGGGCATCGACTGAGATTATATTGAAAAATTGATTTATTATTTCCATCAGCACAACGGTAGCATCTGCGACGTTAGTAACGTTCGAATAATTTGAACACTGAATTTTTTATATCGACTCCCGATGTTTATCGGTATCCTTCCAAATTTCAACCTAACATACTTCGATATCAACATCACTATCAGTCATATTCTCAATTTTTCCTAGGCTATTTGATATACAGGGCTGGGATGAAGTATGGAACCAAGCAAATATCTCGGTAACCGTTTGTTAGATTTTTTTGAATTCATGTACAGGATGATTTCAAAACGTGTTGGATTTGAAAATGTTATCGCCAATGTTGTCACTTTTTCAGTTATTCCGGAATTATTATTAACTTCCTTATTTTAATGAATTTTCAGATTCTGCATGAAAAGCTGATTTCATCGATCTATCACACTTGGGGTCAAAATCGGGATTTTTCAACTTTAGGATTTTTTTGTGTTTAAACTATTCATAATTGGTCAAAATAGCTCACATGTCCATGTCTCAACTTCTGATTTACTATCTACTGACATTTAATTGAAACAGTATTCCCCGTATTCGTTTCGATTAAATGTCAGTAGATAGTGAATCAAAAGTTAAATGTGAGCCATTTTGACCAATAATGAATAGTTTCAACACAAAAAAATCCTAAAGTTGAAAATCTTGATATTGAACACCCTATATCTCTGTAATCATTCCCGCTAGACCCCAAGTGTGATAGATCGATGAAATTAGCTTTTCAGAGAGAATCTGAAAATTCATCAAGATACAGGGTGTTCTATTTGAAATAAGGAAGTTAATAATATTTCCGGAATAACTGAAAAAGTGCCAACATTGGCGAAAACATTTTCAAATCCGATACGTTCTGAAATCACCCTGTACATACATTTAAAAAAATCTAACAAACGGTTACCGAGATATTTGCTTGGTTCCATACTTCATCCCAACCCTGTATAGAAATTTAAGTAATATATTCTGAATGTTGAACACGATGAATGGCTTTGCTCTTTCAATGAAAATGAAAATGTGCTTTTCTTTCATGTCCTCTCCTTCTATTCTTTGAACGGGTCAGCTGAAAAAATTTGAACTTAGAATATTGAAATTGATGCATGAATACTACATATATTATGAAGTAAGATTGACATATGAAAATTTCCAAGAGAAAAAATCGTGCGTTCATGTTCCAGAATGTCAGCTTGAACTTTAATTCTTGAAAATAGCTGATGTTTTGATCAGTATACAGAGAAAAAGAAAAGTTACTCTATCACCCTTAACTTCTCAACGCTCTGTGGCAGAGGTGGTAAGTTAAACTTTTTTATTTTATCATGTTTTGAATGAAAAAGTGATCCCTTCTTAACACCCTACAATTTGGTTGAAATTTCACCAGAATCGGACAAGAATCAAGAAAGTTACAGGGCGACCACTGCGACCAGTATGATTAACTTTAATGGTGGCCAGATGCATTTGCCGGTGAGTGTATTTTTACCTTGGAAGAATCGGATATTGGCCTAACCCTGGAGACGATCCGTAATCGGCTGGAAGCCCTTTCCCTATGAGGAACCCGAAGTCGTAAGGGTACCGGCCGTTGGAGAGCCCGTGGTTGGGCCGGCCCTGGTAGTATTCAGGGCGGCCCCCGTAGAGGCCACCCACGTAGAGTCCGCCCCTGTTGGAAGGTCTGTCGCTTCTCGGGGGCAAATCCACCATTGGATATCCTGAATCAATTAAAGGACCTCAGGATACAGGGTATTTCCCTAAGTACGATCCGTAACTTCAAAGTGTCATCGCTTGCGATTTTTTTATTTGAGATATTGCAAGATATCACGTCCTATCGGATCGTACTAAGGATGAATTTTGTATAACAGGTATCTGGTAGCATGGGAAGAAAGATGGGAAAACATTTAGAAATAACCGGAAATAACCTTGATATAACCTGGAAGTAATGTGAAAATGTCGTGTAAATAAAATAAATAAAAATAAATAAATACCATTTATTTAGCTGAATAGCTAATTTGTACATTGCACTTTACACTAATATATGTGAGACAGTTCCTCCATTATCTGAACCTAATATCCATGTAATCGTGGCAGTAACAATATTATATATATGTTATTTTCAACAAACGTTTGAAGGAAATTATGCTTTCTGCGTCTTTAATATTTTGATCCAGTCTATTATATTTACTTACACCTTTAGAAAATATAGAGTTCTGGGTTCTGGCCTGCAGCTGATCTCACTCTTTGCAGTACAAAATTCTGTCTTCCCCTTGTATTATATCCATGCAACTCTTCAAATAATGTGGCAATAATTTGTGAATATCATGGAAATAACGTGTATCTTCGTAGCGGCAAGGAATCAAAATGTTACAGATAGCTTCATTACACTGTCGATTTTATGCTCTGTTTGTTGTGATTCTTTATGATTGCGATGAAGTACTATTTTGACGAAATATATAGCGTTCTGCTACAATACGGTTCCAATGAATAACGGTTCGATTCATTACGGTTCCTAAGAAATACAGTTCTGACGATACACAGTTTCGTTATAGTACGATTATGATGTTAATTTACGGTCCTGGCAAAATACACTTCTGACAAAATATAATTTCGGCGAATTACTAATGTATTAGTAATAAGCTCACGTGAATACCTTAGCAAATAAACGTTCATTTAAACTGGTTCCAAGTGACAAACAAATCTCAGAAACTACATGTAATATCACTGATAGTGTAGAATTACATCCACATACAGTGTGTCCCACTTACCATGCTCACCACGGGTATCTTTTTAACGGTGAGAGATACGAGGTCGGTTAAATGACACCAAATGTGGAGTTTGTCAAGGCCAACTTCAATGTGAAAAAATATTTTGATAAAATCTATTCGTTTTTGTTTTATACGCAAGAAACAGATTTTGATAATTTTAATGTCTCCTCCGTAACTTCTTTATTTATAAAAATATTCATATAGGAATTTCACATTCTCATGGCAGTTTTTCGAAGTGATTTCGAAAAAAATATGAAATTTATACCAACTCTTCTAGAATTTGAGATATCAGCACCAACTTTAGTTTTTCATATGTAGGTCATAGCTCACTATGGCTTAGTTACAAATAACTTTTTTTTCTCTTTCAGATGATGTGTCGCAGTGATAGTTTTGTGTTGATAACAACGGAGTTATCGTCATCAAGTGGGACACACTGTATAACTCACTGAAATTTGGACCAGGAATTAGTATTAAACGGAGTAGTTTTCCTTTTGTTTTGATAACAGCGCAATTGAACTCTTATCAGTGATTCTCATCATTAGTATCGCTTCTCGGCGAGTTAATAAAGCGAATCATACACTGCGATTTCTGTGAAAATGCCCGATAATGAGACTGCAGTTACAAATAAATTGATTTTCGAGGAAATCATTAGGACTAGGAGCGTACTGAAGAATTCTATTGAAGCAAGTGAGGCGAGGCTATTGTTGAAAAAAGAAGAAGCGAATAACAAAATAAAGGAACTCGAAGAGGAGAACGACAATCTCAAAGAAAAAATAGAGGATCTTGAAAAAGATAAGTAGAAGAAGAATATTATAGTATTCGGACTAAACAGAGCAAGTGAGAATATAACACTCGAAGTAATTTGCAACGAAATTGAAACGTTAATAGACGTCGAAGTAAGCAAATCAGACGTAAGTGACACATATACCATAGGAAAAGGTCAAAACCGTCCGGTGAAAATAGAATCCACAAACTATCTGATAAAAAACTCAATTCTCAAAAACTGTTTCAAACTGAAAGGTGAACATATCAAAATTGTGAATGATCTCACACCTAAACAAAGAAAAGAAGGAGAAATACTGAGGAAACACCTTACTCTTGTTCGTCTAGACGAAAATAATAAGAACTGTTACATTAAAGGAAAAAAACTCATAGTAGATAATAAATCATATGCACCAGAAGACCTCGAGAAAATAGTGATAAACGAAGACACTATCCCAGCAACACCAAATAGTGCACCAGCAACACCTTCTCTCCAATTAACAAATCACTCTATCGTCAAGAAACAAGAACAAAATGAAATAAACAAACCTAACAATAAAGCAGAATGATCTGCTAAGGTTGCAGAAACTCCTAGAAATAAAAAACAGGAAAAGGAAATTCCTGCAATTGGTATACCAAAAGTTACTAGGAGCCGAACAGGCTCTAGCTCAAATAATAAATTATAATTTATTCATTTATTTTATTTTACTTTTAATTAAAATTGTCTCGGTATTTTGAAAATCTTGATGTTTGTTATTTTTTCTCTTTAGCTATATATTAATAATCTGTGTTGTTACATTAGGATAATATTAGTGATTCATTATCATAAAACAATATGGATGAGTTTATCCGGAATCTGGAAGTAGAAGATATTGATATACAATCGAATTGGAAACAAAATTCTCTGATATATTCCAAAACCATAACAACTCGTTCTCCATTTTACACAATAATATCAGGAGTATTGCCAAAAATTTTGATGAATTCCAGGTATTTATGTCTGAATTCCATGATTGTTCTTTCGATTGTCTGGTTCTAACTGAGTCCTGGAATCAGAACATAAAAGACAACCAACTATACAACCTTGAAGGATATAACATGTTCTATAATAGCGAAGCGAATGACGGGGTGGTGGTGTATATAAATAAAGATCTACAAGAGGTTCAATGCCAGTCAATAAAAATTAACGATGTCAACGCATTACACATTTCCTACAAAATTAAATCCAAATCTTTCGAAATATTAGCCATTTATAGGCCATACCTTTAACATCAGCCACAGATTTTATACAAGGGCTCGCAGAATACCTCCGTCAACTAACGTTTTCTGATTATAATATCATAATTGGTGACATAAACATCGATATCCTTGACATAAATAATGAATTTTCTCATGAATATTTGAATGTATTACATGAATTTGATTTTATATCACTTGTTAATAAATACACGAGAGTAACTGATTCAACAAATTCATGTATAGATCACATGTTTCTTAAATGTCGTAGGAGTCCTGATACAGAAAATGTAAAATCATTCATTTTGAAGACAAATATAACCGATCACTTTTCCATTGCAGCTACCATTAGTAACCCAATCTTTGAAAAAAGTACTGAATGTTACTACTTCAAGAAACAACTATCACAGAGAAAACTACTAACATCTATGAAATTGGAATCATGGATGGAAGTTTATAACTCCACAGACCCTGAAATTTGCACTAAAAATTTCATTGAAAGCTTAACCCAACACATTAATGAAGCAACAACAATCAGCAAAATCAAAGTTAGGAAGAAAAAGAAACCTTGGATAACTAATGGTATCATCACTGCTATAAAAACACGTGATTAACTGTTTCTAAATTTCATTAAAGAGAAAAACATCATGAGTAAAGAAGAAAAAAAGCAAGAATATTTGAATTACAGGAATAGAATCAATCAGTTAGTGAGAAAGACCAAATCAGAATATTATAAGTGTAAAATAGAAGCGAATAAAAAACGTACCAAAACTATGTGGAAAACGATCAATGAGGCTGCAAATAAGAACTCGAATAAAAATCAAGAATCAATAACAAAACTTGAAATGTATGATAACGAAGGAGTTTCAGAAAAAAACTTGATAGCAGATAAGTTCATCGACTTTTTTTCAGATGTTGGAGAAACATATGCCAAGAAAATAATACATCAGAGGGGTGATAGTGTGCATCCTCTTCCTAGTGTCAGGGAGTCTATTTTTCTAAATCCAACCAATGAAAAAGAAATCGAAACAATCATTTCACAATCAAAATGTAATAAGGCACATGGTATATATGGATGGAATCACAAATGGAAATTTGAAAATTTGTATGGCGTATATCACGAAACCACTATGTTACATTATAAATCAGATTATCTATTATGGCGTGGTACCATCATTTTTCAAAACTACCCTGATCAAACCCCTATTCAAAACAGGTAGTGTAACGGGACAATCAGGTTCCACGTCCTTCCGTTTCGTATCGCAGCCATTATATTCGCTATTTTTGATAGATAATAAATATAAATTCCTTTAGCCGTGTACATTTTGTTGTTGGGTAGGTACTCTGTCTACTAAATAATTGTTCAAAATTGTTTTGCTATTAGTTATAAGCATTTCAGCTATAATCCTAATTTATTTGAGCATCATTGCGCCATCTACCAACGAGCCAATAAACTGCAAGTTCATCCATGTTGGGGAGATGGTAGAAATCTATCAGTTGTTTTTGTTGGTGATATACCCTACGGACAGGGGGCTCTACAGGTATGATTTTTCGATGAATTGTTTTTTGCGCCATTCCACCACACATTTGATTGTGATAAAAACTAGTGTGGGAGATAAAGTTCTTGAACGAGGCCTTTTTGATAGCAAAACCTGAAGGCAGTCACACCTCTCTTCAAACTGACTCTCTAATAAAACTTTATGGTAGAACCTAAGGGTCTATAACAATTGCGAAAACACTTCGTTTTTGTGACCTGGTCAACTTTACAGGTAGGCGAAATTATGTATTTCTATAAATTTTTCCTCAATTTGAAACTTTTCTCCACGTGGTCATGAGCTTTGATTTTTGGTTAAGAATTATAATGATTTTCTCAGACTAGCTATTAACAATCATCGACGTACTCAGAATCAGTTATTTCTCAAGTAGTTGCAAATGAAAGCATCAAATATGTC